ACAGAAATCAATGAAGGATGGTTGGTAATTTATATGGACGATATCCTCATCTTTTCGGATAACCTGATGAACATCACGCTCGTACCCGTCGAATTCTTACGAAGATCCGTGAAGAACGACTCTTCTTGAAACCAGAAATGTACCTTTGACGCGCAAGAAGTTGAATACCTCGGCATGATTATTCGCCCGGATGCATAGCTATGGACGTTGCTAAAACTGATGGAATCCGCGATTGGCCAATCCATACTGTTAAAGAAACTAGTCGTTCCTGGATTCTGTAACTTCTACCGGAACTTCATCCCTCATTATTCCGATATCGCACGACCTCTTATCGATCTTACAAAGAAAGATAATGTCTTCCTTTGGTCCACACCCTGTCAAGAAGCATTTACGACACTAAAAGAATGTTTCCTGAGACAACCCGTCCTCGTAACCCTGACCCATCACGACAATTTGCAGTAGCCACCGATGCATCTCTTGTTGCAACCGGTGCTGTCTTATTAAAACTGATGAAAACGGCGTGTACACCCTTGTGGATATCTATCCCAATCTTTGAACCCGGCAGAACGTAATTACCAGATCTTTGACCGGGAACTCCTGGCCGTCATCCGCGCACTCCAAGAATGGCGCCATTATCTAGAAGGAAACCCACATCCGGTCATCGTATTCACTGATCATAAGAACCTTCTCTATTTCCGCACCACTCAGAAGTTAACCTGTCGTCAGGCTAGATGGCAGCTCCTTCTTTCATGTTACGATATCGAACTCCATCATGTACCAGGAACCAAACTCGCTGCACCTGATGCTCTGTCTCGCCGACCTGATCATGCGCTAGATACTGTCGATAACGAAGAAGATGTAACACTCCTCCCTGATTCCATGTTTATCCGCCTTCTTGATCAAGAGCTTATGACCACTCTTGCAAACCCTGACCTGATGATACCGACCCGATCTTCCAAGCCGCCTCGACGCCCTGAACGGTCTTTGTCTTCCCCCTATGAAATCAGCTCGCTCGGATTGGACAATTAAGGATGATGTTTTATTCTACAAAGACCGTGCCTACGTCCGACCGGCTGGACGTCACTCTATCTTAGAAAACCCATGACCACGCCACAGCAGGCATCCCGGTCGCTTTAAAACCAAAACTGGTTAAATGCGATTTCTGGTGGCCGTCATGGGAACTATATCCGAAAATATGTTGAGGGTTGCGCCCTTTGTCAGCAAATGAAGTCTGATACCCCCCTACGACTCCTCCACTGGTCCCATTCCTTCTTTGGTCTCGACTCCTTTTTCCCAAGTCTCGTCTCCTCATCACTGATTTACCACCTTGCAATGGCTTCGATTCTATCATGGTCGTGGTAGACCATGGTCTTACGAAGGGGGTAATTCTCATCCTTGTACGAAAACCATCACTTCAGAAGGCATAGCAAAGAAGTTTTCAAATACGTCTACCGCCGCTTTGGACTCCATGAGAAGGTGATCTCGGATCGAGGTCCACAATTTGTATCCAAATTCTCTAAAGCCCTTGCGAAGCTTTTGAAATATGACATCACCGCTTCTACCGCCTATCATCCCCAAACGGACGGTCAAAACTGAACATTTGAATCAAGAACTAGAAACCTATCTCCGAATCTATTGCCGCAACAACCCAGAAGAATGGGTTGAACACATCCCTATATCTGAATTCGTCCACAATCATCGCAAACACGACTCTCGCAACGCATCCCCATTCTTCCTTATGATGGGATACGAGCCACGAGCTCTCCCTCACGTACTCCAGACTCTACTGTGCCAGCCACAGAAGAACGGCTTCGCCTTCTTCAGAAGATACGCGAAGAAGCTATCTCTTGTCATAATCTCGCAATGCAACGAATGGCAGCACGATCGTATGGAAAGAAGTATCAACCATGGAAAATCGGTGATAAAGTTTGGTAATCAGGGAAGAACCTTATCATGCAGTTACCATCACGAAAAACTCGCTCCAAAACGATACGGCCCCTTCACCATCACCGCAGTATTATCACCGATCACATTCACACTCCAGTTACCCAAGCAATGGAAGGTTCACCCCACGTTCCACGCTTCTGAACTATCATCCTATCACGAACCGAAATCCACGGTCCTAATTTCCCCCGATCCTCCACCTGATATCATCGATAACGAAGAAGAAACGAAGTCGAAGCAATCTTATCGCACAAAGGCATGGGTAAACGAAGATGCTATCTCGTATCTTGGAAGGATATTCATCCGCTAGTAACGAATGGATTCCCACGAAAAACCTCGGCAACGCTGTAGAGACTCGCGTTTCTGCAGGCACATATAGGCACATTTCGCACCTTTTCACAACTCATGACAATTGGCCTTCAATGCACGACTCGCACCATCAGCTATATTCGACTTCTATCATGTCCCTAGTCGTTTTACACATACGCGCAGCTTTCCCGCGAAATGCGCCATAGGCGCGGTACTTTCCCACACAACGCGCAGCATTCCCACACGCGCACCTTGCGCGCTTTCTCGTGCTTAAGCGCCCTGCATCGCCTATCATCCAGGAACGTCCCTCTATGTCCACCCACCTCATTGGTACGTCATATGCCTTGCCTCGTGGTTTGTAACAAGCATTGCAGCGTTATTACATGTCATTACGTATTCATAGCGCTTATTGCTCCTATCCCTTCCGCTTCCGATGCGATTTCCATAGTATAAAGTTTGCTGACTTACTACTTCATCATTATTACTCCCCTTTGCTGTACTTCCCTCGCTATTGGGTTTTACTTTAAAGTAGTAGTCACCACTTGGGCGCACTTTGTGTTTCCAATGGTTATCGTTATCCGCCTATACTAGACCTTTATCCACGCTCGTTATAACACTCGCTCTGCGTTTGCACTCGCTTTCCACATCCACTTCCTTATCTCTTTCCTTATCTGGTATTTTCCGCACAATGCGCGCCTTAGCGCTCACGTTCCCACGCTCGCGCTTACCTTAGTGCGCTCTCTCGCGCTTCGCGCTCACTTCGCTTTTCTTCTTGCGCTTTCGCGCATCCATCGCACTTCAAGGGTCTTTCTTTCATCTGGTTCTGTGTTCAGTAGCAGTCCCCTTTAGGGTCGAACATTCTTGCATTCTGTGAGTATAGCAGCTAGGCAGAGCCAAGACTCACTTATACTGGTTGAGCATTTTTAGATATTTCATATCAGCCCAGCCAGGTTGAGATCGCCTCAACGCCTCTGCAATCCTCGCTGCTTATAAGAATGCTCACCAGTTATAAGAATCGTCACGAAAAGATGTCCTTCTCAGAACTTCGCACTCTCCAAATCTGTCTCCTGCATCTCCAAACTCTCGTCAAAACCCTTAATAATATGTCCGCCAGTCTTGCTGCTTCCCCCTCTACAACGTCTATCACATTGATCGAAAACCACCGAATCCCCAAACTACTTTTCCATTCTCGACAACATTGAAACCAATATGTTGTTCGAGTCTGCCCTCCTCTCTGAACAATACACTATCGAGATAGACCGCCTCCTCGCTGAACAAGGAGCCCTCTCTAGCACACTCCTCATCAACATCATTCATGCCACTAATCTCGTCAAACGTACTGCAGGACTTCTTGATGATGAACGTCTTAAGACCATCTTTCATCTTTCATCATCTTCACATACACATTCACAATTCTGCGATACGTCTCATGCCTACCTCTACCAAGGAAGTCGTTAGAGAGGCAATCCATATCGTTACTGAACGAATTGCAACAAACCCAATCGCCAGACCTCCATCCCCACATATTGCAATTCCTATCCCACCTCCGGTCGAGATATCATCTCCCATTGAGCATACGCCTAATGATATCGTTCCTCCTGCTGTACCAATCATACCATTTGCTCCTACGACTGCCCCGGCGGCAACTACCCCTCATATACGTCCTACCCGTCGATGACCCTCCAAGCGAGAGATCTCCGTCTCCCCTCCCTCTCACAACCATACTCTACCCTCCAAGACACCATCCCCGCCTCCGCGATCATCCTCCATCACCATCGTGAAAACCGACCCCATCGACAACTTTAAGTGTCGCAATTGTAATGAAATCGGTCATCGTCACAAGAACTGCCCTACGTACTTCTGCCGTGTATGTCGTAACCTCGCGCCAGGGCATCTTTCGGTCTTTTGCAAAGATCTTAAAGGCGAGAAAACCTATCCCATTAGTATGGATGGACGCAGGTTTTTACGAGGCCCTCTCTAGATGGGAGGCTGACAAGGACGCTGCTATGGAACAGATCTCAATCGAAGAAGATGAGAGAATGTTCGTTCAATGCGCAGGTGATCGTGATAACTATGACGCTTACAATAACTTTGATTGTTGAAATCGGTGACTTCAACGATAATAACGGGGTAATGTTACAGTCAAGTATGCCCCTATTCATTTTCTTTCTCTTACATCATTGTATTACATCACGATCGCATCCTGCCGTCGCTAGATGATCTATTCTTGGTATCTCTGACTCGTCTATCTCTGACTCGTCTTATCTCTGACTCGCCTTATCTCTGACTCATCTCTATGACCTCATCGTACTGGCCCTAAAGCTGTTATCATTTCCTATATAAACTCGTCTTGTACTATGTAGTTCTTTACTTTAATCTTACTAGGTTTTACCTGGAACTTCCTTCGCTTAAGACCTCCAATCTTAAGTCGTATTGAACTTGATTCAAGTCGAGGACACTCTCCTTGTCTTGTCTAGAACATTGAAGCTTCAGTATACGCTGAAGTCTTGAACTGACCTTGGCCGATTACTCTTATCGAGTAGCCATACGTCAGAACCATCCTAGTTCGTAACAGGATTATGAAGCTGGGAAATGACAATGACAATGGCAGTTGGTTCGGAGGTCAAGATATGAGCCACTGGTTGATTGATAAAAATTTTCAAACTCCAACATGGGTCGACCCGGCCAATTCCCGGGACTAAAATGTTTGGGTCAAAGTAGCTGTTTCATATCGTTGGCAAAAAATTTCATTCATCTTGAGCATCTATAAACCCGGTCTTCAGGTCTTGAAATGCTGCCTGGGCATCCTGTGCCAGCAATGAATACATTTGGGATTGCCTTCCCGAGTAGCATGCATGACCCGGAAGGTGTTTCACCAATGATTCCCGCATCCTGTCACCCCATTGGGTTGCTTTCCACAAGAAAAAGTTACATGTCCAATCCATCTCCAATTGGACCAACATCATTTCTTCCTTCCATCGATCCCATAGTGCCTTTTCCCGGAGCCAATGAACTCGGTAAACTTCGGATGACTCCGTCAGCTGAGTGCGGGACACATCAAGCATGCCCGAACTCACATTCCTCATTCCATGAGTGATCGGGACCCCCAAGGTCGACTTCGACTGACCAGAACCAAGCGAGGGGACTTGTTTCGCTGACCTCGGGCATTTGGATCGCCGACAGCAGTGCTGATTTTGAGTTGCTCTCGAAGCAGGGGTTTGTATTTCTGAACCTGGTCTTGCCCTGGCTCCAGTTGCATCATTTGCTTCCTCGTCTTCGTATATATACTGGCATGGAGGGACACTGCCTGCTGCACCGACGTCACCTGGGACCAAGCTCGAGTTTTCAGGGCCTGGGATTTGGCTTGCCTAACTGTTGTTCGAAACAGAATCGCCTTGTTGCACAAGTGAATTCGGAGGTTGTGAAGGGAGTCATTGGCCTGCCCTTCACGAAGAGACATCTCCAGCGGAATGAGATCGTCTGCCATACAGCGTCTGCATCGATCTACCCCGAGGTTTGATGGCAATGGGATTACAGTGAGCTCAGGGGAGTTTGCCCATGTGTCAGATGTCTCGGTGAAGTCTGCCAAGTCATCATCGAGATCATCAAGAATGTCCAAGTACAAGTCTTCAGGATCATCATCTGCATCAAATCCCTCTCCGAGATGCGTAATAGCAGACCGAGTGAATCCATCTATCTGGCCTTGGAGACGATCGCGTTGCCGGGCGATGTCTAACTTCTGTGTCTCGGTAGTTCTTCTACCAATTCTTCGGACCTCAATGAGCAATGCGATTTGAGCCTCTTCAATTGCCAACCCCATTGATATCCATGTCGCCACAGACCTGCGAGCAGGTGCTGCATTTCGGGCATTACCCTCCTCTAGTAGCCTAAGCTCGATCTCCTTTTTGCTCGGTGCTGAATGCAAAATTAATTCAGACTTTGATGGAGACAAAGTCAACTAACCCTTCTTGATATTAATCTCATATACATCCATAGCCGCAGGATTATTTATTCTGCTGGACTGAGCGATCCTCTCGCTGGCTAGCCACTCTGTCTTTGAATCGCCAGGTGCTGCTTCATTGAGTATGTCAAAAGCCTTTTCACTTTCGGCAATGCCATTCTTCGCCTGCTTGTATTTTCGGCAAAGGGTCCTTTTCATGCGGATCATATTGCAGAAATTGGAATCATTCATCTGATAATCGAGACATTCCTTTCGATGCGGGGATGACATTCCCCGAGCAGCAGGGGAAATCAGGTTGAGACGTGATCATAGGGTCTCCATGATCTCTCCATCAATCCGACCGATGCCTTCGATAAAATTCGACGCATATCGGACATAGCAGCTGTCCTGATGTCCGTGGATGTGCCACAATCCGATTCTGGGAAATGGGGAAAGAAGTAATGGGCTGATACTACACTACCTGCCATTACCTGCTTGTATTTACATGTCAATGTGTAACTTTCATATATCTGACCTAATATGATATGCAGAGTCCCCACTAGTGAATATCAATTATTGAGTCCCGACTATTGAGTCACAAACATTGAATCCCGACTATCGAACCTCAAGTCCCGAACCCCGAGATTCGTCAAACACCGAGTCCCGACTATTGAGCGTCAAGTCCCAAGCATCGAACATCGAGTCCCAAATATCGAGTGCCGAGTGTTGAGTCCCGATTATCAACTCCCAAATATCAAACATCAAGTCCCGACTATCGAGTCCCGAGTGTTGAGTCCCAATTATTGAATCCCGACCATCGTGTATCGAGTCCCGTTCGACACCCAGGGACATGTATTGAAAAATTCGGTCGTGTACATGATGTGGGGATGTCCATGAAAATTCACAGGTTGCAATGCAGTAATTTACAGTGGCTCAAAAAACTGTCCGCATGTTTTGACATTTTTCACTATCTATGATATTGTGTGAGAATGAACAAATTCCTCAAGGACATACTTATACCACATTGTAGTATGGCTTCAGGGCTTTTATTTGAGCCCTACACCGTGGGAATCGGCGGAGATATGGTGGAGATATAAGGCTTATAAAATGATGACTCATGTGGACAGTTTTTTGAGTGTATATTAAAACTATATAAATCATTATTTATGACACCATAAAAATCATGCCACTATTATATAAATTATAAAGTGGTGTCATTATGTTATTTTATGACTATATCTAACTATATAAACCAGAATATCTCATGTATCATAGTCATAATCACCATGAAAGCCATCTCCTCTGCTCAAAGAGATAATATCCTCTCTCTGTCTTATGCTGGCCTCTCTGCTCGCCAAATTTCCTCTAGAACTGGAATATGCAAGTCCACTGTGGCCAAGTTCATCAAAGAAAGCCACCCAGACAAGGAAAACTCTTGTGGAGGACGTCCATCCAAGCTTACCTCTACTGACAAAAGGGCTATTATCCAACATATCACTACAGGAAAGGCTGATAATGCTGTCCAAGCCACCCATTATATCAATTCCACCATCACTACCCCTGTCTCTTCACAAACTGTGAGGAATGTTCTCAAGGCAGCTCATCTCAAGGCAGTAACAAAGAAGAAAAAGCCTCTTCTCTCCATCAAACATAGGCAGAGAAGACTAGCCTTTGCCTTAGCTCATCAACACTGGACTGTAGAGGACTGGAAGCATGTTATATGGTCAGATGAGACCAAAATCAATAGGATTGGGTCAGATGGGAAGGTGTATGTATGGAAAAAGAAGGGAGATGGCCTAACAGACAGAGAGGTTAATGGGACTGTCAAGTTTGGAGGAGGTTCTTTAATGGTATGGGGCTGTATGGGATGGAATGGTGTGGGAATGCTTGCTGAGGTTGAGGGGAAGATGAATGCTGAGCAGTATGTGGACATTTTAAATGACCACTTGCTGCCTAGCTTGGCAGAATCAGGGATTGATGAAGAAGATATCATTTTCCAACAGGATAATGATCCCAAGCACACATCCAGAAGAGCTAGGGAATGGTTTGAAGAACATAACATCAATGTTCTTGACTGGCCAGCACAGTCTCCTGATGTCAATGTCATTGAACATCTCTGGGGAACACTCAAGAAAAAGCTTCAAGCCTATGAAAACCCCCCTAAAGGAGTATGGGAGCTTTGGGAGAGAGTAGCAGTGGAATGGGGGAAGATCACAGCTGAGGATTGCCAGAAATTAATTGAGAGTATGCCTAGAAGGATAGAGGCAGTAATTAAAGCCAAGGGAGGTCATACAAAATACTAGAATACCTGGTTATTACTGTAAAATACTTGAGTCAAAAAACTGTCCGCATGAGTCACCATTTTGTGAGCCTTGTATCTCCACCATATCTCCACCGATTCCCACGGTGTAGGGCTCAAATGAAAGCCCTGAAGCCATACTACAATGTGGTATAAGCATGTTTTTGAGGCATTTGTTTGTTCTCACACAATATTATAGATAGTGAAAAATGCCAAAACATACGGACAGTTTTTTGAGCCACTGTACATGGTCAGTTGTTCTTCAAAGTGTTCAATCATGGAATCTACTACCTTGAGCATTTCAATGCTCATCTGTTCAACTCTTTGCAACCTCTGCAGGTCTGCATCAGCTTTTTTCAGTTTGTCAGATGTTTCTGCCCAAGCAGTTTGGAATGGACGCTCGGCCTCGATTAGTTGTTGGATGGAAGGGTCAGGAAGACCTCCAGTACGGCGTTTGTAGTCATGGAGTCAATCTTGGACGGATTGGTCTTCCAGAAAGATTAGCTCAAAGATAAATGCTCTGCTTTCAGATACTCACATTCTGGGTGTTGGTATTTTCCGAAAGGATGGAGCTCCCGGACCATCAACCATACATCCTCAATATTGAGCTCCGGCTGGTCTCCAGGGAGTTCGGTAGATGATTTGTCGGCTTGGGAGATAAGATCAGTCTCCATAATGGTCTAGAATGAATGGACGCACATGAAATAGACACCTCTGAGGTAGCCGGAGCAAAAGTGGGAGGATCAGCAGAGTCCAGCAACTCATCAACATCAATGACATCATCCTCAGGCCTGAGGTACAAGTCTGGATCAATGAGACAGCTGGCATCATCAGCTTGACCCGGATGTGATTGATCTTCAAGGGTGAAGTTAGCATGCATGGTGATCCCAGGTCATCAGTAATGTATAGTCATACCGGGTATTGCAGCCGACGCATCCGGGGGTCCGGATGACATAGAATCATATTCTATGTCATCATCCGGCCCGAGGTATCAGTCATCTAAGTCATCTAAAGGATACCCGGTGAATAGATAAGGCATGATAAGAATACAACATACCTAGTGATGCCTGGGCCATAGATGAGTCATCCACATCCATAGAATTATAGTCGGTCACTGGTGGGTCATTAAATCTAACGGCTGGATGGGAACTCATGTGTGGAGAATTGGTGGACTGATTGACTGATGATCTAAAAAACTTCGAAGTTCAACACAAAGCCAGCAATTGCCAAAAGTTGAACCACGACCAAACAAACACAAACAATAAACGATTTTGTGGATCGCCCATCAAATGTCTTGTTTGTTTGAAACTTCATCTTTCTGATAACTGATTTCAATCTGATTTCAAGATCTTTAAATCTCTCAACCCACTCATCATGTCCACTCCAGTTGACAACTCTTTGACCCATCTCAAGGCATCCGCTGCCCAGATCATGGCCATCATCAGTGCCGCCCGGCAGATTCCCCTGGGTCCCAGCCACTCGGCTTTGGGAAAACAGGTTGCTACACTTGTGGTATGTATTTTGTTTTGGGTGCTTTTTCTTCTCTAACATCTTGGTAGTCTGATGTAGCCAAGGAGTATGGGTCCGGGGATGGTCCTATTCCCGGCCTCATCATTTCATGCTCCAAAGAACTCCAGCGCATTCGGAACATGGTTCCCAAGGTCTGGTCAGACTGGCACTCCATCGGGTATGACGATCCTCACATTCTTAGGCACACCTGGTACCCCAAGGTCCTCGCCTGGAACGCCTTAGGCGACCAGACCTTCGATCTCCCAACTGCTGCCCCCCCCATCCACAGGTCCGATTCCTGTCAATCTTGGTACTCGGTTCTCGGTACTCGGTACTCAGTGATTCGAGTCTCGAGACTTGTGACCCGTGATTTACAAATCGACATTTGAAACTTGTGATTTCTGAGAACAATGTGTATTATCTTATGTATTTCTGTACTCATTTCACCGACTACCAAGTGCCGAATCTCAGGTCTCGGGTCTTGGGTCTCAGTATTTCAAAACGACAAAAATGGGTGGCAGCAGAAGTGAAAATCGATTGTGCATTATTAGCTGGATAGTGTTGTGGTAACTTGGTCCCTGTTGCGATGCTGTGCAGGATTTAGCCAGGAAGCTGCTCTGCCGTTCAACTCCCCTCATTGCCACAATCAATTATAATCATCATGTTCATTCACTTCAGATGTTATTCTTGTCACTTATTGCTTATTTTATTTTTATGAGTGCTTTTATGTTTTGAAACAAAATCTTAGCTCATGTCAAACTCAAACTCTCTTACATGCCGAGTGCCGAATTCCAGGTGTCAGGTATCGGTGTCGGTACTCGGTACTCGGTACTCGGTACTCGGTACTCCGGTACTCGGTACTTCGGTACTCGGTACTTGGTACTCGGTGATTCGAGTCTCGAGACTTGAGACTCAATTCACAAATCGAAATTTGAAACTTGTGATTTCTGAGAACAATGTGTATTATCTTAAGTATTCCTGTACTCATTTCACCGACTACCGAGTGCCGAATCTCGGGTCTCGTTTCTCGGTATTTTCATGACAACAAAAATGTATATCATCTTAAATTTGAATTTTCTTAACTCGAGACTTGAAAACTCGTAAAAAATGTACAATACCTAGGCCTATCTGTCTATATGATACATATCTGGGCCCACCCGTCTATCTAATAAATAATTCACCTCACCCTTGGCCCACCCGTCTATCTGATATTACCTGACGTCGGCCCACCCATCTATGTAGAATTCCCCAACGTCGGCCCACCCGTCTATCTAATAAATAACTCACCTCACCCTCAGCCCACCTGTCTATCTAATATTACCACCACATCGGCCAACCCATCTATCTGATATTACCCCACATCGGCCAACCCGTCTATGTAATGAATAATTCCCCTCACCCTCGGCCCACCCGTCTATCTATTATTACCCCACGTCGGCCCACCCGTCTATCTAATAAATAACTCACCTCACCCTCAGCCCACCCGTCTATCTAATATTACCCCACATCGGCCAACCCGTCTATGTAATAAATAATTCCTCCCTCACCCTCGGCCCACCCGTCTATCTGATATTACCCCACATCGGCCCACCCGTCTATCTAATAAATATTTCACCGCTCCTCGGCCCATCCGTCTACAAAATAATACTAATACGTCGGCCCACACGTCTATATAATACTATTTGCTATACATCTCTCCTCAGGTCTATAATATATGTCAATCCTACTCTACATATTACCCACATGGGCCCACCCATCTCCATAATAATATTTCTCCCGGCCCATCTGCTATCATCGATGATATATATAACATCAGCATAGATGGGCCCACCCGTCTCCATCGGAAATAATATGCCTCCTGGCCCACCCGTCAACATCGGGAATATACATAACATCGGCCCATAATACGCTGGCCCATATTACACGGGATATTATGTAGGTCGGGTGACCCGTATAATACGGGATTTGTCACTGAAGGGGCTCGACGAGTAGCCAGTGATTAATCCGAAGGATCTAATATAAAGTATAATACACATTCAGTAGGGAATGATAGAGGTTGGTACTAGTGCGCCTCACCTGTTTCTGCAAAGTCCTTGAAGTTGGTCTGGCGTTGATACGAGTTCTTCAATGGCCCATGCATCTGCTCATTTGGTTTGGCGTTGTAGTTCCTTGTAGCACCTTTAGCCTCTATATCGTCGAAAATGTGGATGATCATGTGCATTTTCGGAAAGCTCCAGCCCTTGTCGTTCTCATCGACGGTTTCCGCGATATATTGCTATTACAATGTCAACCTATTATGTAGTTGCTAAAAATGAAATATGATGAAACGTACCTTCATAAGCGCTGTGAAAGCTTGGACAGCACTTCCTCCCTTCATTAATAGTATTTGTGGTGTGGACCTCGAAAGCGGCATATATGTCGATTTCGAGATAAAGGTGTATGCATCGAAGTAACAGGTAGCCAAGTGGGGAGTCTTGTTCTGTCAGAATGTCATGTGTAGCATATAGTATTAACTATGAACAAAACAGTTAGTACAAACAACTGTGTTAATTGAATCACATACTTTTGATGTCTTCATGCATGGAGCTGTCTGCAAACGTTACGCCCATAACCTGGTTTGGGTGCTTAAAATTCTGCCAGTGTGAAAATTGTTCAAACCTTAGATACAATTGTTAGAGAAGGGTCGCACGTAGTAGCGCAAAAAGAATGTACATCTTGTCGACTGCAGATACCTTTGACCTTCCGAGACTAACAACACATTTCTGTAGTTTGACCCATAGATGGTGCGACCAAAGCCCGCCGTTATGCATACGGTCGTGTGACAGAGCTCGATGGACATCAGTGTATCGTACAGCCCATAATGAATTCTAGAAATAAATTTAGACCTTCGCACATCGAGACGATTCAGAGAACTTACATCAACATCGCGCAGTCCATATTCTTTCAAAATCTCATCCTTTCCTCAACAGTGTCTTTTCCTCATGCAGTCGCTACAATGGCTTGCGATTGATCTGACATTCGACGGGGATATGATTTAGAGGTGTCCCAAAGTTCGTCGCAAGGAACAAGGCAAATGGGACACAGCCAAAGACTCATGATCCCTCGAATAAGTGAGATGACACACCTGTAGTAATACATCATTAGTAGGAAAACTAAGCGCTATAGGCAAAAACAATATAGTACTAACTGTTCTTCATAATCAGCTGATAAAATGATCACACAAAGGAAGAACCAGCGTTGAACACCGTCAATACACTGATACCATTGTCCTGTTCGTGATTTGGAAGCTAGCGAAGAGATTATGTGCAAACAAACTATGCCAAACAGTATTTTTGACCCAACTAGACTTTTCCGCATAGTCTTTATCTTCTTTCACCTATCCGAACATTAGTGTCAATTTAATGAGGCAATCATCAGACCATACAATCGGCAGCCATCCTACCACGTAGCCACTACCTATACCTCGTCCGTTTCGAATGTCCGTAGGTAGATTTGCTATTCTAGCGACAACTGGATAGCCCTTGGCAGTCCCAAATGACGACAGCTTCATTTTCAGCGTACAAAATGAAAGCAAGTGGCTTGCCACCTGGTGGAAGTCGCGACTACAACAATTAAAATAGAATAAAAAGGGGCCAAAAACACTATGTATCAATACGTACTTGGATATCCCAGAAGTCCTGCACAGTGAACGGCTCGTCTACAAAGCGGACGAACATTTCGCCATCGAACTTAGACAAGTGTTGTGCATCAAATGTGAAGTGTGGAAATAAGCTGGGGTCCCCAAGTAGATCAGTAGCGAACTCCCAAAGATCCCGGTAGTGCACATCAAAGTCCCACAATTTGCCATCGTAAGGTACTGAAATCACTTCTTTGGTGAACTGCGCTTTGAACGAGGTTAAATTATGATGCTAATCATGAAAATTAAATCACCTTTGTAATGCGGTGAGATGCTGCTTCCCACTTGTTATGAATATCTTTATGGTTAAAAAATGTAAACTTATCCTTCCCGATGGCGCAGTTGACAGATCTTGATGAGCTGATCAGTCTGCTCATTGTTTAGCGCAGCCTCGATGCGATCTCGGCAACTTTGAATTCGAGCCTAGATTGGAATGGATACCAAGGCTGTCTATCAGGTGGGACCACAGAGGGAGCTGGATGACACTTGAATGTCTCAAATGAGTGAACCGTAGTCTTGATGCTGCTGTTTGGATGGTGTTCGACCTTGATGTCATCACGTGCAAAGGCTGGGAATGTGTGTGCGTCGACAGGTTCAGGTTCAATTACAGTAACATCTGGAATTCGATAGTGTCAATACTAATAGCGAGATTGATGAAAACGCCTGTGAGACTCACCAATCGTGCTGCCATAATCAAAGTCTGCGTCAGGACCATGCGTGAGGTCAGGAGGATTTCTGTTTTCAACTGAGAGAGCTAGTGAGCGTGACATATTACAAGAAATTAAACGGATACTGTACTTTGTGCGGCAGATACATTGGACCTATGGTTATTAGGTTGATTCAGGGCTGTGCTTCGCCCCTCGATTGCTGCTGGATGTTGTAATAGTGTCAGCTTCGACACCGCAGTATGAAGTCCAAGAGCTCTTACCTTTCTCTTTCCGAATAGCATCTACTAACCTGGTCTCAACGTCTCTTATCCGCACGTATCTTGCAGGCTTTTCGATGAGTAGTCCAGCCTTTTGGTTTGATATTTTGGTCGCATATTTCACACAGTTTTGAGCGCTCGGGAGCCATTTGGGTACACAATTACAGAGGTTGGATTCAGAAACTTCAAGATTGAAGAAAGAAAGAGCCGGCAGGCACATCAGGCGTTGACACATATGCTTGTCATCGATTATCATAAGCTTACAAATCCTTGCAATACATTGAAACTCAGCCAGGGACATTACTTTATTATTTCAGCACACATTTCAATGACATCTAAACATAGCTGATTGCAACTGCTTTCGTAAATTTCTGACACAGCACAACATCTCCAAGGAAGACCTTAGGTGTTCTGAAGAATTGTGGAAGCTGTCACCATTTAATACCCAAGCAGAACTGCCACCAAAGAAGGGATGGACAGATCTGCTCAGTCTTCACAAGGACACACCAGATGAAGCAGATCTTACCCGTCACGATAGATTTAATTCGTGGAAGTTTCTCTCGGACCTCGTCTCATATGGCCCTCCATACTTTTCTCAATTCCATAACCAACTTCACGAACCTGAGGCCATTGAAGCCATCCCTGTCATCAAAACGCCAATCATTGCTACATCTCAATGGATGTCAGTAATTCCACCGTTACAGGCAATATACAAAGTGTCGTTAACCTGCTCGAGCAGGGCGGAATCGGAGATCCTGCAGCCATCAATGATCCAGGGATGCCCGACATCTCAGAGTATGTAGTTCTATTTCATGGTAACCTTGGGATGGGGGAACGCCTTCAGTCTGCGCAGCAGCGTCGAGGAATTGAAAACACACCATGGGACCGTTTACAACATGTTGTCTTTGTCCCCGGTCTTTTCCATTTGAAGATGGCGGCCGCAGATGCAATTTGGCGGATATTCCTGCAGCCCAATGCAGCACGACTAGATGAAACCAGTCTCATGCAAGATGTAGGTATCTCGCGGCCAAGGGAAACCGGCCACTATGGATCAAAGCCGGGGTTCCATTGTATGCACGAACTGATCATGCACGACAGTATTTGTTGTCGCCTTGATTGTTGGAGAGTCGAGGCTGGGAAAGGTGACACGAAGTGGACAAGTCTGGAGGAATTTGCAGGATCAGAAATCATGGAAAGACATCAAAGCAATGGCACACACCCTTGCTCGTAACTACATTGCAGGTCACCAACTTTGGCGCATGCGACGTGCACCGGCAGCTCAACGTGATGTCCAATATGAAAATGGACTCCTCTTGAACAAGTACGTGCTTATATATGAGGAGCTGTCATATGCAATGAATATCGGTGACATTGGACGGGTTTGAGACTTGCCTTGTGACGTTGATCCCAATGTTTAAGGCCACAGGAAACATAAATATGCAAACGCTATGACAGACTTCCTGTGCAAAGTGCATTTCATGTATCCCGAAGGATTGAAGTAAAGCATTATGAAACATCTTCATCTACTCAAGACTTACAATCGGCAGACGGGCTGTTCACTACCACATCATGGTCAATCCAACCGGGAAGAAAGGAAAGTTTCGAGCGGTTGACTGGTGCGTTGAATTGAATAAACCTTTTCACAAAGGTGCGCGTCCCTTGTCACTATTAAAAATGCAAGTCAGTAAACAAAAATCACAGGTTACCAATGGAGGAAAAGGATCAAACCACACTGTTTCGAGGATTATAATGGAGTCTCCACTCATTCAGATATACCGGAACTTGCATACAATGTTCCAGAATGACTTTCTGCATGTTTCAAAACAAACGACTAAACACGCAGAGGCAGATATGTCAAAAATGTTCCAAGTCCTATGCAGACACATGAGAAAAACACTCCTCAAACGAAGTAGTAAAGGGGCGCGGAAGCCATTACAGTATCCCTGAAGTCCTTGCCAAGGGACAGGAGTTGATGGAAAAGAATAGCGTAGATAACGAAGATGGAGGGCAAGAAGCTGCTATTAGGGAAGGTGAGGATGAGCATCCATCAGTCGATGATGTTGCGATTGAATTAGTCTGGTAGTAAGTAAGATATATGATGAGTAAATATTACGGTTGACCAACACTCTGGCACTTGATTATCAGAATTCACCGTTCCTGCAAGACGCTGAGAGTTCGAATTCGATGTGCTCTGCGCTTGATTATCAGAATTCACCATTCCTGCAAGACGCTGAGAGTTCGGATTTGATGTGCTCTGCACTTGATTATCAGAATTCACCATTCTTGCAAGACGCTCAGATTTAACTTCATTCTCCTTCCCAGCTGCAGAAGATGTCCTCGATGGGTGCATGGGACAAACACGCGCCCACGTTCTGGTCAAAAGGTCAGCAAATATAAGGAGAAACAATGCAAAACTTACTGTGATGGCCAGGCTGGCCGCAAGCGCTGCATTTTGACACCTTCTCATGCCATTGGGGGGAGCAAGGACTGGATGTTGAGCTGACCCATTGTTTAGTGCGGTGGTGGATAGAGGGCGCTGTTGTAGAGGGGCAGTGGTGTAGAGTGAAATTGGAATGATGTGGTGGATTAGAGAAATCACCTCCCTGGCCAGATCATCATTGACAGGCCAATGTGTTTCCCTTGCGGAGATCCTCAACAATCTTATCTTCTCAAAATGGGTGCAGTCAACAATCCGGTCAGGACTGAGTCGCCCATTACAACAGTTGGACAGAGGTCAATAAGGTTGAGCGCCCAGTGCCCTCGCATAGTTTGTGCTCCTGTGGGCCCATTGTATGTTTTGCAAGTCTAGAGCAGATGGGAAGTCTGGGTGGTTGAGGGACAATGATGGGGATCAAACGACGAGAATGCTGAAGGGTGATGAATGTCACAGCACACTTTAGGAAGTACGGGAGCGCAATGTGAGCAGCCTTCCTTAGCTATCTGATGGGTCGCATGTAAGGGGACTTGAATCTATAAAATATTATTGCAATTATTGATACAGTATAGGAAAGTCGCACCTGCTGATCCGTTGTCAAATTGGATATTAAACACCTTCCGACGACACCAACGCCACGATAATCAGCGTTGATCAACAAGTCCATTGCTCGGTCCAGTTCATTCTCTCTCTTCTGCCTTGATAACCTCTCCAATGTGCTTGCCGGTTTTATTAAATCCCTCAACTGTGCATCAGTAATTATAACCTTAGGTGAGTTTGCTGCTGAGCCACTAGTATTATTGGTAGACTGGGCACTATCCTCTCCTTCCAGGTGCGCAACATCAATAGCAGTCAGTCAAACTATTAATTACACAGCATTTGGCAGCCGGTTGGTTATCTGGTGCATTTGTTGCTTTCTTTTTGCGCTCCTGACGCTTACGCTTATCTTCACGTATATCGTCGAAATACTCTTTTTCTGCGAACAGCAACGCAGTCCCTTCCAGCGTGCGGTCTCTGGCTGCACGACCAAACCACTGCCAAATGGCAGACAACCTGCACGACGCTCGCCACTGAATGACCAAAGTCACATCTGGTACGTCCATTCCCTGCATTTATTAATACTTTATTGACATCACAATTTGGGAGCCCCTTCAGTGACAAATCCGGATTATATGGGTCACCCGACCTACATAATATCCCGTGTAATACGGGCCAGCGGATTATGGGGCTGATGTTATGTATATACCCGATGTTGACGGGTGGGCCGGGAGGAAATATTATTTCCGATGGAGACGGGTGGGGCCCATCTATGCTGATGTTATATATATCATCGATGATAGCAGATGGGCCGGGAGAAATATTATTATGGAGATGGTTGGGCCCATGTGGGTAATATGTAGAGTAGGATTGACATATATTATAGACCTGAGGAGAGATGTATAGCAAATAGTATTATATAGACGGGTGGGCCGACGTATCAGTATTATTTTGTAGACGGATGGGCCGAGGGAGCGGTGAAATATTTATTAGATTAAGACAGGTGGGCCGATGTAGGGAAATATTAGATAGACGGGTGAGCCAAGGGTGGGGTGAATTATTTATTACATAGACGGGTGGGCCGATGTGGGGTAATAGTAGATAGACGGGTGGGCCGAGGGTGAGGTGATTATTTATTACATAGACAGGTGGGCCGACGTGGGTCATATTAGATAGACGGGTGGGCCGACATCGGGTAATATCAAGTACCAAGTACTAAAACCCAAAACCCAAAACCCAAAACCTGAAACCTGAAACCTGAAACCTGAAACCCGAGCCCTGAACACCCAGACTCGGGACTCAAGAGACTCAAAACTCAAAATTCAAACCCAACTGGAAAGTCATACATTTTTACGAGTTAAGAAAATTCAAATTGAAAGATGATATACATTTTGTCATCTGGAAATACCGAGTACCGAGTACCGAGACCTGATACCCAAGACCTGAGATTCGGCACTCGGTAGTCAGTGAAATGAGTACAGAAATACATAAGATACTACACATTAGTGTCAAATTTTGACTTGTGAATCACAAGTCTCGAGTCTCGAGACTTGAATCACCGAGTACTGACTACCAAGTACCAAGTACTGAGTGCCGAGTGCCGAGTGCCGAGTGCCCCGATGCGTTCAGGCATTCAATCACTGTCAGGAGGTGTTCCCTCATCCACCTCAGTGCCATCAGTGTTGCAATCAAGCTTTCTGCCGTGTGCTGAGTGCCGAGTTCCGAGTTCCGAGTGCCCCGATGCTTTCGGGTATTGACACCCAGATAGCCGTCACTCTCAAGGGCCCGTCAGAATTTAGATCATCTCAAACGGATGTGATTTGAGTGAGATATGAACAGAATACTATATACCGGGTGAATGTTGGCATCAGAAGTTCAATGCTTTCGATGTTATTGATGTCGGGTCTCGATGCTTTGGGCATTGACATGTAGATAGCCCTCGATCTCAGGGGTGTGGCAAAATTTAGATTGTCTGAAACAGATATAATTTGAGTGAGATATATGCAAAATACCACACACTGACTACCGAGTGCTGAGTACCAAGTGCCAAGTGCCGAGTTCCGAGTGCCGAGTGCCCCGATGCTTCCGGGTATTAACACCCAGATAGCCCTCGCTCTCAGGGGCCTGTCAGAATTTAGATCATCTCAAACAGATGTGATTTGAGTGAGATATGAATAAAATACTATATACCGGGTGAATTTCAGCATTGGAAGTTTGATGCTTTCGATGTTTTTGATGTTGGGTCTTGATGCTTTCAGGCATTAACATGTAGATAGCCCTTGATCTCAGGGGTGTGGCAGAATTTACATTGTCTCAAACGGATATAATTTGAGTGAGATATATGCAAAATACCACACACTGACTACCGAGTGCTGAGTGCCAAGTGCCAAGTGCCGAGAACTGAGTTCCGAGTGCCGAGTGCCGAGTGCCCCGATGCTTTCGGGTATTAACACACAGATAGCCCTCACACTCAGGGGCCCGTCAGAATTTAGATCATCTCAAACAGATGTGATTTGAGTGAGATATGAACAAAATACTATATACCGGGTGAATTTCAAGTGAGATATATGCAAATACTATATATTGACTACTGAGTGCTGAGTACCAAGTGCTGAGTGCCAAGTGCAGAGTGCCCTGATGCTTTCGGGCATTAACACCCAGATAGCCCATGCTCTCAGGGGCCCATCAGAATTTAGATCATCTCAAACAGATGTGATTTAATGAGTCCCAAGTGCTGAGTGCCGAGTGCTGAGTTCTGAGTGCCGAGTGCCGAGTCCGAGTTCCGAGTTCCGAGTGCCCCGATGCTTTCGGGTATTAACACCCAGATAGCCCTCGTCCTCAGGGGCCTGTCAGAATTTAGATCATCTCAAACAGATGTGATTTGAGTGAGATATGAGCAAAATACTATATACCGGGTGAATTTCAGCATTGGAAGTTTGATGCTTTCGATGTTTTTGATGTCGGGTCTTGATGCTTTCGGGCATTAACATGTAGATAGCCCTCGATCTCAGGGGTGTGGCAGAACTCACATTGTCTCAAACAGATATAATTTGAGTGAGATATATGCAAAATACCACACACTGACTACCGAGTGCTGAGTACCAAGTGCCAAGTGCAGAGAACCGAGTTCCGAGTTCCGAGTTCCGAGTGCCGAGTGCCGAGTGCCGAGTGACCCGATGCTTTCGGGTATTAAAAGCCCTCGCTCTCAGGGGCCCGTCAGAATTTAGATCATCTCAAACGGATGTGATTTGAGTGAGATATGAACACAATTCTATATACCGGGTGAATTTTGGCATCAGAAGTTCGATGCTTTCGATGTTTTTGATGTCTGGTCTTGATGCTTTCGAGCATTAATATGTAGATAGCCCTTGATCTCAGGGGTGTGGCAGAACTCACATTGTCTCAAACAGATATAATTTGAGTGAGATATTTGCAAAATACTGACTACCGAGTGCTGAGTGCCGAGTTCTGAGTGCCGAGTTCCGAGTTCCGAGTTCCGAGTGCTGAGTGCTGAGTCCCAAGTGCTGAGTGCCGAGTGCTGAGTTCTGAGTGCCGAGTGCCGAGTTCCGAGTTCCGAGTGCCCCGATGCTTTCGGGCATTAACACCCAGATCGCCCTCGCTCTCAGGGACCCATCAGAATTTAGATCATCTCAAATGGATGTGATTTGAGTGAGATATGAACAGAATACTATATACCGGGTGAATTTTGGCATCAGAAGTTCGATGCTTTCGATGTTTTTGATGTCTGGTCTTGATGCTTTCGAGCATTAATATGTAGATAGCCCTTGATCTCAGGGGTGTGGCAGAACTCACATTGTCTCAAACAGATATAATTTGAGTGAGATATTTGCAAAATACTATGTATTTACTGACTACTGAGTGCTGAGTGCCAAGGTCTGAGTTCTGAGTTCCGAGTGCCAAGTGCCGAGTGCCGAGTTCCGAGTGCCGAGTGCCGAGTGCCCCGATGCTTTCGGGTATTGACACCCAGATCACCCTCACTCTCAAGGGCCTGTCAGAATTTAGATCATCTCAAACGGATGTGATTTGAGCGAGATATGAACAAAATACTATATACCGGGTGAATTTTGGCATCAGAAGTTCAATGCTTTCGATGTTTTTGATGTCGGGTCTCAATGCTTTTGGGTATTGACATGTAGATAGCCCTCGATCTCAGGGGTGTGGTAAAATTCAGATTGTCTGAAACAGATATAATTTGAGTGAGATATATGCAAAATCCCATATACTGACTACCAAGTGCTGAGTACCAAGTGCCGAGTGCCAAGTGCCAAGTGCCTTCCGAGTGCTGAGTGTCCCGATGCTTTTGGGCATTACCACCCAGATGGATAGCCCTTAATGTCAGGAGTTCACAGAATTCATATGGCCTCACATGGACATATGAGGTAATGTAGGACATTCTCAACACATCAGGAGACACATAAAAACACATCATAAGGCACTACATCATGTCTTCAATAGTCATACCTATGTGTAGTATGATAGTGTGATCTTTAATATACTGTTCAGGCTGACACTCATCAAGTATCACAGGTCTATTGTACAGACTTAGAATAAAATACAGTAGTCTTAACTTGATAGTCATTACACGATAGTCTTCACTTGATAGTCTAATATAATTGTTGATTACTACATAATACATAAGCTGTGAGGGTTAGGATTATTATGGAAGATATGACAGTCATGGTTATTAAGAAAGCTTATATTATGCCTAGCAAGTTAAGACTATTGAGTTAAGACAATCATATCCTTAGTCTAGTAAGCACTGTCAAAGCTTGTGACCTTCTGGTAACCGTGTGGCAAAATCATATTTTGCTGATGTATATATCTTGTGATTGTAACTTTCTTGCACCAGTGCACAGTGATTGCCTTGAATTTCGAGTTTTTTTGTATTTAGAGATACATACCACTGACAGATACTGTTTCAGGGACTGGAACAGTACACTGGAAGCCAATCTATCATATTATACATAGGTGTGATCATAGCAAACCTGATGCAGTCCCTGATGATGTGTTTTTATGTTTCTCCTGATGTTTTAGAATTTTTCCCACACAAGGCTGACAACAAAAACATTGAACCTGCGAAGCTCAGACACACCCAATAAATTGTATTTTGCTCATATCTCCCTCAAATCATGTCTGTTTGAGGCAAAATATGATTCCCCAACATCCCTTTGATAGTATATGCAATATATAAGGATACTAGGACAACAGGATTTATTCCTGTTGTGCTATGTGCTTACCCTTGGTGCAAGGCCTGACATCAAAATCACCTGATATATAATATGTTGCTCATATCTCACTCAAGTCTTATCCGTGTGAGACGATCTGAATTGTGACAGGCCCCTGAGATCAAGTTCTATCTGCTTGTGAATGCCTGAATGCATTGAGGCTAGACATTGCAAACATGGAAAGCATTGACCTTACAATGCTGAAATACACACAGTATATGGGATTTTGCTCATATCTCACTCAACTCTTATCCATTTGGGATGGGCTAAATTCTGCCAGACCCGTGAGATCTAGGGCTATCTGCATGTCAATACCTGAAGGCATCGAGGCTTGATATCAATAACATCAAAAGCATCAAACTTCTGATGGTGAAATTCACTTGGTATATAGTATTTTGCTCATATCTCACTCAAATCACATCCGTTTAAGATGATCTAAATTCTGATGGGCCCCTGAGAGCGTGGGCTATCTGGATGTTAATACCCGAAGGCCTCGGGGCACTCGGAACTCGGAACTCGGCACTCGGAACTCGGCACTTGGCACTCGGAACTCGGAACTCAAAACTCAGCACTCAGCACTCGGTAGTCAGTATATACATAGTATGGTGCAAATATCTCACTCAAATTATATCTGTTTGAGACAATGTGAATTCTGCCACACCCCTGAGATTGAGGGCTATCTACATGTTCATGCCTGAAAGCATCAAGACCCGACATCAATAACATCGAAAGCATTGAACTTCTGATGCCAACATTCACCCGGCATATAGTATTCTGTTCATATCTCACTCAAATCACATCCGTTTGAGATGATCTCAATTCTGACGGGTCCCTGAGAGCGAGGGCTATCTGGGTGTTAATACCCGAAAGCATCGGGGCACTCGGCACTCGGAACTCGGCACTCGGAACTCGGCACTCGGAACTCGGCACTTGGCACTCGGAACTATCTACATTCTGACAGGCCCCTGAGAGCGAGGGCTATCTGGGTGTTAATGCCCGAAAGCATCGGGGCACTCGGCACTCGGCACTCAGCACTCGGCACTCGGCACTCAGAACTTGGTTCTCAGCACTTGGCACTTGGCACTCAGCACTTGGTAGTCAGTGTGTGGTATTTTGCATATATCTCACTCAAATTATATCTGTTTCAGACAATCTAAATTTGCCACACCCCTGAGATTGAGGGCTATCTACATGTTACTGCCTGAAAGCATCGAGATCCGACATCAAAAACATCGAAAGCATCAAACTTCCAATGCTGAAATCCACCCGATATGTAGTATTTTGCTCATATCTCACTCAAATCACATTTGTTTGAGATGATCTAAATTCTGACGGGCCCCTGAGAGCGAGGGCTATCTGGGTGTTAATACCCGAAAGCATTGGGGCACTTGCCTCGGACTCGGAACTCGGAACTCGGAACTCGGAACTCGGAACTCGGAACTCGGAACTCGGAACTCGGAACTCGGAACTCGGAACTCGGAACTCGGAACTCGGAACTCGGAACTCGGAACTCGGAACTCGGAACTCGGAACTCGGAACTCGGAACTCGGAACTCGGAACTTGGAACTCGGAACTCAGAACTCAGCACTCGGCACTCAGCACTTGGGACTCGGCACTCAGCACTTGGGACACATTAAATCACATCTGTTTGAGATGATCTAAATTCTGATGGGCCCCTGAGAGCATGGGCTATCTGGGTGTTAATGCCTGAAAGCATTGGGGCACTCTGCACTTGGCACTCGGCACTTGGTACTCAGCACTCAGTAGTCAATATATTGTATTTTGCATATATCTCACTCAAATTATATCCATTTCAGACAATCTGAATTCTCCCACACCCCTGAGATTGAGGGCTATCTTCATGTCAATGCCCGAAAGCATCGAACTTCTGATGCCAAAAATTCACCCGGTATATAGTATTTTGCTCATATCTCACTCAAATCACATCCGTTTGAGATGATCTAAATTCTGATGGGCCCCTGAGAGCGAGGGCTATCTGGGTGTTAATACCCGAAAGCATCGGGGCACTTGGCACTCGGAACTCGGAACTCGGAACTCGGAACTCAGAACTCGGAACTTGGAACTCGACACTTAGTGCTCAGCACTTGGTAGTCAGTATATTTTATTTTGCACCTTTCCCAAGTACATACCCTTAATTTCAGAATGAAGTCCAGATGAAATCCAATGAAGTCCGAAGGACTTCCGGAGACTGGCTACTCTGATGGAGTGCTGGAGGACTTCTGGATGAGCACAGGACCTTCCGGAGGAGTATAGAAACTTCTAGAGAAGTACAGGAAACTCTGGAGGAGTTTCACCTGCTGCATAGGGTCCGAAGATAAGACTTCTGAAGGTTAGCTTCCTAGATGGAAGCACATGGAGGAGAGACTGCAAGGGACAGAATCCAAAGCAGGATCAGATAGGAGGAGTGGTCCAGAGGACAGGATGTCTGAAGGTTGCGCCATCTGAATGTTCAGATGTCCAAAGGTTATGATGTCTGAAGGTCATGATGTCCAAAGGTTACAATGTCCAAAGGTTTTGATATCCGAAGGGTAAGATGTCCGGAGATCCAAAGGTCCGGAGATCCAAAGGTCTGGAGGTCAGCAGGAGTGGACAGGATTATAGGACAGGAGAATAAAGGCTACCATGGACAAGGTCTGGAGTAGAAGCAAACAGAGGTAGGCTACACTTAGGTGGAGTCGGAGATAACAGGAAGTAGACATAAGTCTTGGAAAGACAGGAAGTGCCAGAAAGGCAAAGGTCCAGCTTAAGGAATCAATCCTTAAGCTTGGATAGAGATGGAAGGACAAATCCAAAGGTTTGGAAGTCCAGCCTAAGGAACCCTTCAGGTTGGACTCGGATCTCAGTACACTTCACTTGATTTTTGATATCCGGGACTCCATAGTCGGAACTTGAGTCTTGAATCTCGGGTGTCGGGTGTCGGTTGTCGGTTGTCGGGTGTTGGGTGTTGGGTGTTGGGTGTTGGGTGTCTGGGTGTCGGGTCTCGATGGTCAGGACTCAATATTTGGGACTCGTTGGTCGGGACTTGATACTCGATTGTTGGGATTCAATGGTCGGGCATTGGGTTTCAGGACTCAAATCTCAGGCTTTGGGACTCGGGTTTCAAGACTCGGTAGTCAGGACTCAATGGTCGATTGTCGGGATTTGATAGTCAGGGCTCGGATATTGGTACACTTCACTTGATTTTTGGTAGTTGGAACTTGGCATTTGGCATTTGGTAGGCTTGGATGATGTTGGCTTTCAAAGATCTATTATCATATATTGCTCAATGAAATACCAGACGATCGGAAGTGTGCTGGACATCACATATTCATTTGTCGAGACCCGGGTCTCGGAACTCGGTACACTTCGCTCGAGTTTCCACTTCACCCCTTTGCAAGGCTCCATGCCATACTACATCATTAGATGACTTTGAATTATTACCTCCATGATATACAACTAGCTGAGCTCCATCATGTCTACAATTATCATTCTCCTGGGCCCACCGTTTATATTATATACCCCTACGTCGGCCTACCCGTCTATGCAATATATGTCTACCATTGGCCCACCCGTATATAATAAATCTTTCACCGCTCCCTCGGCCCACTCGTCTACAAAATAATACCAATACGTCGGCCCACCCGTCTACAAAATAATATTAATTCGTCGGCCCACCCGTCTAATATGATATATATCTGGGCCCACCTGTCTATGTGATAACAAGCACCCTTGATATACCCGGCTATTTGATACATATCTACCTTGGTACACCCATCTACATAATATCCAACTACCTCGGCCGATCCGTCTATTGAAAATTCATGTCCATCGGCCCACCCATCTACTTTACATATTCCCCACCTGGGCCAACCCGTCTCCATCGGGAATAATAACACTCCCGGCCCATCCGTCACAGTCGAGGATATATCTACCTTCGGCCCATGGTCCGCTGGCCCGTATCATACGGGATATTATGCACGTCCGTTCACTCGTATAATACGGAGATATGTTACTGCAATATGTGAATTTGGGCCGTAACCCTCACCATTCCAAATGCCTCTGTGGTACACAGACCCCACGTATCTCTAGCAACGAGGTTTGTGACTTCGGCTGCCTTAAATCCAGTAGTCATGTCGGAGTTGAACCATTTGACGTTGTTTCGTAGATCTGGCGGAAGACGTGCCTGCAAGTACTTCGTGGCATTTATTCCTTCTTGGATGCTGTCGAAAAAAACGAGGAATTTTGGTGGTGCCGTATCGTCTGATTTCATGCTGGTAGGTATGAGGAACGCAAGATCTGCATAAGACGCAAGTGAGTATTTGATTTTGCGGACTCCGATCTTGATGTTTGGACGGTCGGTGGATACATGAACAGTGACAAGCTATTCTGGTCGGATGCGAAGGAGCCTGCGTATGTCTCTCAGAGCATCTGATGTGAGTGTTGCTGATGTGATCATGAAAGGTACCTGGCACAGTAGGATATAACGCAAGCACTCTAGTTCCTTGTACTCGGACCGAAAGTCTCCCCATGTCACAATGCAGTGTGCTTCATCAAAGATGACACCAATTAACTTCGACGCAAAGTCAACGTTTCACAACAGCTTCTCGAACTCTCCGCCTGGTTTCATCAGCTGTTCTGGGCTGGTTATAATTGCACAGGTAACGTGAGTCTTCGATTTCCTGCAGCAAACACAATGATTAAAGGTTCATAACTAACAGATGACCTTTGATTTACACGGAAATTTGCCCTACTCGCTGTCTCAGTAGAGATCGAGATACTTTGTATACCGGCTTTTTCGAGGAAACTGACACTTTGTTCCCCGAGCTGGGTAAGTGGAGTCACAACAATCAGGATGCCCGTGTCTTTGATAGCTAACGGTGACCAGAACGCAAGTATTTTTCCCATCCCTGTCCCCGCTATGCAGATAATATCGCGATCATTTTGCAGGAACGCATCTGTGACTTTGAGTTGCCACAAGCAGGCTCTCTTGTTGAAACAATCTTGAAGCTTCTCTCGAATGGCAGAGAAGTTAGGAGCTTCTGCCGACATATGACAAAAAAGGATAATATGTCGGAATATCATTTTATTTAGCGATACAATATATTTAATTCAATTCCCGCTGACTCTTCTGGGTTTTGCCACTGTGGCTGCCCTTGTTTACAAATGTTTTGTGCCAGCTGTTGTAGGAGAGGTTGGGGGGATAAGGTTTGGCTGGGTTTGAAAGACTTGTGCATGTTTCCGCTTTACACTACCGCACTCGGATGTCGCCCCCTTCCTCTCCGGCAAGGGGTGGGTAGGAGCCTGTGACAATGTTCAAATACATGTTAAAGCAAATCTTACTCCTCATGTATGCAGGCGTAGAGATTACTTCACAATGAACAGACTGCCCGTCTTGACTGATTATTTGTCACCCGTCACTTGGAACAGTACATTCCACAGAGGATAGACAACATTCCAAGGTGTGTTAGAGTAGATGTCACTACTCGATGGATGCCGAGTTGCATACAAACAATAATGTCAGAGTCGTGCATATCAAATTTTTATTGAACACAACCCTACATCAGATCATTTCTTCAGGTAGGATCAAAAGTGTACAATTTTGATTGAGGTCAAAGAGTCCATGGTAGTGACAACATTTGTAAATGATTCAAACTCTGGTGTAACGCTGTAAGCATACGTAATGGTAGTGCTAAATTGTAATCTCATGCAATCATTGACATCTTCACAATTTAAATTCTTCTGGGCCCTCAGCCCGAAATTTCTGCACTTTGACTTCATTGTCGCGATGTAGACGAGGTCATTATCATGAAGAGAGACAATAAGTTCACATCAGCCGGGAAGATAACCCTCCCGGATTTCTGAGAATCACCCTTGGCTGTAGTATTTGACCTAGTATTTTGGTAACTACCACTTTAACCATAGACACTTTCATTGGCAACTGCCAGTCCGCTCTTTTGACCTAGTGCTGTGGCACTTGCCAGGTCCCTATTTGGCTGTATGTCCTGGCTTTCACAGCCGCATTTTTGGTATTTTTGAAACTCAGCTGTTTGTCATTCCAGGATACATTCCACATTTGGTGATGGATGTATTTATATGTTATGACCGCAATTTTGGCTTCCAAAAGCGGAAATTCACAAAAACACATCCCATTTTGGTCACCTACTGATATCAGGCCTCCCCACATTATTCCCACACTCCGCATTATCGCATTTTTCAGCCACACAGTGTGGGAATTACCCCACAACACCCAAAACATCGCCCAATATGGTACACCCCACAATTATAATTATTCACACACCCTCCCCACCTTGCTGCAGCTTCACCACTACACCACAATAGCTCCCCATGCATATATATGTATAGTATAATATAATAGACCGCTTTTTTTGTCTATTTGTGTGCCTGCTCCTCCTCCAGGGAGTATTCAGAATAGCCTAGGGTACAGAACACTTTCGCACTTTTGCCCCTTTGATAGGGAAGTGCTCTATGGTATTCAGAACATGTTTTTGAGTATATATGAAGATATTCCCATCTTTATTTGGCCCCTTGAGGCGCCCTACATCAATAGATATAGCATATATACACAAATACACAAATATGTTCCTATGTGTTTATTTCTAGGTGAATAGACTTGGAAAAATTATCCCCAGCATCTATTCAACAATATGAACAACGTATGAGAAGCCCTGGACCATAGAGCAAGACCCTGTGATGCAGTATACCTGCCCTCTCCTGGTGGTTCACCCCCTGTGAAAATTTTTCCTGTAGGACCGGACCTTCAGGATGTTAGGGAGTCTATTTCTATGCATATTTAGAGTATATCTATCACTTAGCTGCTCTAGAATATCAACATGGTCCTTCTACAGGAACAAAAAGACACAAAATCGCATTTTTGACATTTTTGATATATTTCAGTATCTTGCCCTTGCATACATAGTCCACCTTGCTCATTTATCATCAGTGGTACATATATAAATGTGTTTGATGCCCAGGATCAGCTCACAATAGGCCGCAGTTTTGAGGTAGTGCATATACTTACTATTTCTACTGATAAGGGGCCTATACCTTCAGAACATCGAGATGTAATAATCAGACAGCTGGAACACATTTTAGATATACTCAGTATCATAGATCTACAACTGTAGAAAGATCCATCAAATATTGAGTGAAAGGGAAGCAAAGGAACATATGTGTGAAAAGTGACAATTACCACATATTACACAAAAGTCTAGTAGGTCGTCTTCCTAGATGACAATGATAGATCAAAATCACTATGTGAGGCCGAGAAATGTTGTCCATGCCTTTGTTTTGTTGCTTTATCTTGCTTCAAAGTTTTGACCTCCTCCAAGAGGGCGGCAATTCTTCGCTTCGCTCTAGCATGAGGAAACATTTGAACACCAAGTGACGGCTCCACAGGAACAGTCGGTGGCGGCAGTGTTGACGGGGGGTTATTCTCGGATGGCATACGTAGAAGTAATTGGGAAGGACAGAGGGCGGGAAGGTGAACGAGGAATAAAAGCACCTATGAGGTCTGATGTCTTATATGTTTGCCAAGTGCGCTAATGACCTAAGGACTTGAATGAGTTGTTCCCGAATTAAGCAGCAGAGGATTGCCTTACTTGGTAGCCTGTCTTGAGCCTTAATTGGCGATCTGGTCACAACCAGTTTTGCACACCCTGATCTGATATGAGTGTTTCTGGGTCATTTTCTCAAGCCTCTTTAGGTTAATTTAAGGAACGATGAATGTCAAACGTCTTAAATATTACAGCATGCTTACTTCCGATCCGGGTGGTGACTGCCAGTTCCTATCAACTCCATTGTCAAATCTACCAGGTGGCCGCTGCCTTCTGAAAACAACTTGAAGACTGTACAGGTTACGCCGCTGTGAACTCCGGCAGGACTCGGACATAAGGCAAGGGTATGAGACATTTTTGTACGCATTTGGCTCGGGCTTTGATAAGGGTGGTGGCAGCCGCATCATGTCATCATCCAACGTCATACTAGCCTTAAGAAAAGAGTCGGCAGGAATCCAGTCAGAACCTATCATGATAGATGTAGTTTCACTTATATGGCATTCCCTCAAGAAAGAGGCATTGCTTACTACCACTACAAAAATCCTGATGTCGTTGACTTCAAACAAGAAAGTGAGCACCTCCTGGTCAACAAGCTGACTCGCCGGAGGCTCCAACTCGAACACAACGGAATGATCACCTCTGAGTTTTAGACTATTTCCTTCCTGTTGAACCATGCGTTAGGCCACATAACGTGCTATACGAGGAAGGACTCACCGAGTCAGAAATAGTTACCTCGACTATATGATAATTCAAGCACTCAGGGCGGGATGTGAAACTCAACTTGAACACGGGCACTCCTAGAACTGATACTCTCTGAGAGGATCACAGAATTCAGTGCACTTTTCAGCGCCACAGGTGCCAACCTGCCGGAAGTCTTCTCAGACAGCGTCAAGTCAACAGTGACCCTTAGTGACACTCAGAGCCTCTGAGATATCGCCTCTGATGTCAACTTGAGCATCCATGAGGTAGACATTGTACGTGTGAAGGGTGATAGGCTTCCGAGGGCCAATGGTCATCAAAACTGGCTCCCAGTCTCAATAATACTTCAGTACACACCGACAGCCTTCCCGTTAAGATCAACAGCAATGCTTACTTGTATTGTGGCTGTAATCGCCATTCTGAAGATGCAACTTCCCGTGAACTTGCTCCAGTTCCCTCCCATAACCAGCTGATGTTCAGGAGGAAGTGTTTTAAATATGAAGTTGCCACGCATCATTTGGTTTAAGAAGGAATATGAAACCAGCCCAGGCCGTCACCGTTGTCAGTTACACTAGTAGGACTGAAAAGGCAGAGATCAGCTCGATAACCAAGATTCCAAATGGTCCATGAAGAAACGTACACTCCCGGATTATTCACCTTTGATTCTGAACGTCAGGATACTGCCCAAACTACTCGCGTTGGTTGAGTTGAATTTCAACGTATGACTCGGACTTCAGGCAAAGAATCTAGCATGTGGCACATTGGGTGTGAATGAATAGATGGGCAAGCGTACCTCTGGGGAGACAGTCACCTAGAAAAGCAAGACACCTCTGAATGTTGGAAAGGTCATTCTGCAAAGCTCACTAGAGTCAGGGTAACACACTTCTATGGTTCCCACGACTACCGTGACAATGTCACGGCCTCATGACTCACTGACTCGGATGGCATATATGATTATACAGGCAGAGTGAACACTGAAGATCATTGATGGCTGTCTGCATGCGCTTGACGCTCACCGATCACTTCATCGAAGTACTCGTCCTTGACTCATCAGAAAAACAATGAACATGGCCCGTTTGAAGCCTTGAAACAAGTACACTGGTAGGCAAGGACATGTGACTGTGACAGCGGCCACCTGATTCATTCGAGCCCCAAGGAGCCAGAGGCTGCTGATAAGATTCAAAATGAGTTGGCCACTGTCAGACTGTCCGAGTCACGCTAAGGATGTAGTTTGAAGCAGAAACTTTGTCCCTGGGAGATGCCGCGGCCAATCTAGTATATCGAATAGAACGCATCAATATTCCAACAGACATTCGGTAGGGTTGTACAAATCACTGAAGTCGGGCCTATCTCTAAACGAGAGTTCGTCAAACTCATACTCAATGTCCTCCTCGAGGTCATCAAACCCGTCGTCCGATTCTTCCTCGCCCTCGATGTCATTATGTTCGCCCTCTGATTCCTCATCAGCAAGGTCAACGTCCATCGGTTGTTCATCATCAGCTTCTTCATGGTCCTCACCATCGCCTCCACCTTCATCGACATCCATAGCCTCTACCAGTGCATGGAGGCCAAACAGTCTCTAACAGTCCTCCGCAAAGCTACCGGATGTCCTACGCCCAAATCGGTGTAACGCAAGAACATGTCGTGATCAACAAAACTAGCCCTGGCAGGTAAGAGTTCATTCAGTCTCAAGAAAACGTGTTGCACTCACATCCCAACGTAATACACTTCCCAGTCATCTAATTCCCCATTACGACGTGCTAGTGATTTTCCGTGGCGAAGTGAGCTTGAACCGCGCCCCGAAGTGAATGTAGGAATTAAATGTGTTCCTCGAATCACTTGGCCGGGATCAAGAAATCTGAATGCGTCATGGTCCGACTCATCAATGAATGCTACTTTAGGAAGGCGAGCGCGTTGCATGCCAGACCCATATGACATCAACGGTGCGAGCCATCTGACATGCAGAACCTCGAGTTGCTGTTTTTCGGTTTCACCACCACCTTCAAGCCAAGTGTCCATGTGATAGATACCCAGTATACGAGCGTACCAATATGGGTGGGTGGGAGCGCTTTCTCCTGAAAGCACCATCACGTCTCCATGTGTTTTGGGTTGATGGTGTCCATACTCGCACCTCATGTCATATGTCGTATAATGTATCTGCATGGTCTGAACTGAATAGACAGTATTGTTAGGAATGATGACCGTTTTGCGTTCCTGGTCTGTGAATGTGTGGTCACAGTGACTAACGTCCAACTTCTTCAGCCTATACAGAATGTGATCCTTCAACCTCGGGATGAAGTTCTGCAAGCTGTCATGAGTGTCCAACTAGCAGAAAGTGTAATGTTATATATACCTTGATCACTGGATCACCATCATTTTCCTGGAGGAATGTGAACAACGAGATTGGATTATTTCTACTTGTTGAGATAGAATGATGGTCCTGGATCAACGACTCGGACGTAGCAAGAGAGTTGGTCGGATATTCATTACTTGAGGAGGACATATCTGCTGCTTCCTTGATTTGCCGTAACACACGGCGCTGGCGCTCGTGCTTCTCTAGCTGCGCTGGAGTATCTAGTTTGCAAGTTAGTGGATAGAACACTTTTATAGCTCTATGCGCCAGCTCCCCCTAACCAATAACATAACTTCAGAAGTATTCTTGAATAGGAAGAAGACAATGCCTACGATTTGAGTGGTGAAAGAATCAGTAGTCCCAAAGAACTTAATGGTTTGTGTGTAATCACCCATTGCGTGAAACTTGTAGGTGTTTAGATTGAACTTTTTCACCCTCGGCCCACCATTAGATGCTGAAGAAGCGCTGTTGTATCCAACACATTTGGCGAGCCATCGCTGACGAGCCGCCTTCTCTTTTGGTAATTCTGAAGTGTCAAAAGCAGCACAGGTAGACTTGCAGAACTTCTGCAACTGCCTCGAGAGCTTTTTGAATGTTGAGTCGAGGAAACTAAGAGTCAGTTCTGAATGGATTCTGAGCTTGGCAAGTGCATGCCATTGTGCGAACCTATATAAAAGAGACTGCACAATCACGTCATGATGGCAGGAAATAGCCCTTCGAACACAGGTATTGCACACTAAATAAAGGGCATCAGCGAACTACACAGGTAACAGTGAAGTAAAGGAATAACCTGCAAGATGTCTTTGAAGTCCCGAGCGGCTAGTCTTTTCATCTCAGACGTGTTATTTGAAAAGATTCAAATTACCCCATTACCAAACGGTGGAATCTGACGGAATCTTTTGGTGTGATACTTATTATTAGGCAGTAAAGCACTGTACAAACACTACCTACCTGGAGTCCAAGGTTGCAACTAGCTGAAGTCCCTCTGGTAGTGCATAAAGGATCCTGATGAGGTGAGTAAACAGTGCCTTCCAGGTTCCCAGCTCACATTTGTGCATAAAGTCCACGATGAGCATGCGAAAGGGGTTAAGGCCCAGTCCTCCCAGTTTCTCGACGAATTTATTCTATGGGTTACTCATATGAGCTGGCATGGCAGCATAAGGGACAAAAGACACTCACTATGACAGGTACCTACGAGCCCTCTCCAAGTGTCTCTTGAACCTTCGTGCCATCTACAGTGTTTCCCCATTGATAAATGTACTCTTGTGCCTTGACAACATTCGTTTCGACATAGACTCGAACATTACTTATATGGCTCCTCATATCTTTGACGAGGCCTAGAGAAGCAAATAGATTTTTCAGCACGAGGCAACGAGGGCAGGGGCACGAACCCATGTCCTTCATAGTGGCAATTAACACCCTGAGACTTGTTGAGTAATACACTGAATACATAAAGATGGAACGCACTTTTCAGGATAGTCGGCGGAGTATGTGAATATGCGAGGAAAAATCCTGCAAAACACTCCGTCGGCACACTTTAACACAATACCATGGCAGTATGAGTGAAGAAAGTCTGTATCTAGTAAGGTATCCCAGCATCCATGAAACAACTCTCGTCGACAGTGAGTGTGAAGGGCAGCCATGCCAGATTTTGATATCCGAGGCAAGTCGCTCAGAACATCTTTAATCCTATCAGGCAACTGATGGTGCAAATATCAGTGTGACTTTAAACCTGTGACAGTAGGAACACTTACCGAGGGAAAAAAACCTACCAAGTGACATGCGCCGGACTTTGGTGCGGAACGTGCATACTCGGTCAAATTTCCAAAGTACATATAGAGGGGCCAAGCCTTCGCTGTTCCAAAATTTGCCAGATGTGTGGCATCCAAAAAAAACATAAGGCCAGCAATTATGCGTTCCAGTGAACATCCGGGCTCCTTAGGAAGTTTCTGCAACTCGTCCTGGGCATTCAGCCAAGAGTCAGAAGTATACAATTAATCAAAAATTCATTCTTGATGAGCGTCCAGCGGATCCTTCCATAAGCGCTTGAAAGGTGAAAGATGAAAGGCACCCGCTTGCATGTCCATAAAAGCTGACCGGATTACTTGGATGAGAGGGCGAAAATGGAACCCTGGAATGGAAAAAGGTCTAGCCTCGTCCTCCCTCAATTTTGTAGGAATCTTGATTGTGACACTAGCCTCAATCCAGTCGTCTGGAAATTTGACTTGAGTCTTCCTGCCGGGGTCGTGGTCCATTTCTCGTAAACACTTCTTCACTGAGAAGCCCTCCAGATGCTTTCTGTCAAAATCATCCGCCAGTATGACTTCCTCGACAAGACGGGCGACTTCGCCCTCAGATTTCTTACTACTACCAATATTCATCCAAGACATGAGACGATAAATTGTCATGTTCGGAAAAGGGTAGGGAGGTGGGAGAATGCCAGGTAAATCAGTCTCTTGCACAATGGTTGGACATGTTGTTGAAAGTAGCGAAGACGGGACACACTCGTCTGGCTCAACAGATGGGCGACAAGGGTACAGTCGGGAAAGTCCAAGGGAATTGAAGTTGGTCTGAAGTGTATCCCGTAAAGTTAGTAGAACCCTCCGGATTCTAGATTGTGCATTTTGAGCCGGCGGGGTATCAACATTATTCGAGTAATTGGCATCCTCATCAGCAGGAGGAACATCCTCAAAAGGTCTAGGTATTCGTCCCAGAGAGTGTGAAGGATCTTCTGAAGAGTGAAGAACAGAACAAGTAAGTTATCAGTCGACTGCGGGAGCCCAAAGACATACCCAAAACATCAGTCTGGGATGTGTTGTTGAAGCCGTCATCAGCTTCAAACTGCTGTTGCTCTGAGGGTTGCTGAAGGTGCTCAAGACCCGCTGCTCTGGGAGGCATGCCAGCCTGAGTCTTGTGCCCGTTTGACAATGTGCACGGAACAATAGGTTTTGGGTGGCGACTCTCCACGCGCCGGACTGGCGACAGTTGCTAGATATTACGAAAGGTATGCAACGATTGCCAGTGAGCCTCTGTTGTTGAGACTCATTGTAGGAAAGACTGCTCACCGACTCCGAGTCAGAACGGGTTAAGCCTGGTTGCACTAGGCGCAGCCTCCCGGAAGTTCGGGCTACTTGTTTTGCCCTCTCTTGTCTTTTCTGGTGGGCAAGAACTGTGGAATTATGGTAGAATCGGCATGTTGCACGATGCCTACTAAGCCCTCGAGTATCGGTAGTTGCTTTCTCCCAGGAGCAGCCTGGAGTATTGCAGGATACCATCAGATGAAAAATGAAGAACGAAAGGAGGATAAGCCATGGACTATTGCTCCACATTTGCCAGCATCTCAGACTCAGAAGGCTGGCTCAAGCCAGGAGTAGTCGCTATACAAAGTTCAGGTTGGCTGCTGCCACCTTATCCGATATGCCTGTGACAAGTCAAAGCCCAACCGAGTCCCAGGGAGTGCTACTATTAATGGACTTGTTTGGCCTCTTATCATACGACCTTACATAGTTTAGTGTTGTTCGCGTAGAACTGAAGTGTATGACTACTACTTCAAGCAATGATATATTAATGATATACCATCATGATCTAGTCAAGATACTACAGACCGTCACTAATAAGTCAACGATGACCTACTAAGGAAATTCACTTGTTCTCCTACTGCCAGCCGAGGGGAAACAATGTTGTACATATTTCAACATTTGAGTATACTATCATTAGACTATGCGTATTCCTTACACCATGATCAGTATCACAAAACAGATGAAATTATGACAATAATCACCTCACCTCAGGCAACCATGAACATAGGCTTCTCCACCTCTTTGGATATGCTATTCAAGCATTGGGCCAAGCGATCTTCGACATCTTCAGAGTCCAGGTCATCAGGCTCGGGGAACAACGTCCGCTCAGCGCTAACCTCCTCCAGATGATCAAGCTGCATGTCTGCTATACGGTGTGCCGCAAAATCATGAGCATATGCGGCGACAGTGAAATCTGCGTCATCCTCCAGCTGCTGCTCGGAACGTTGGACCAACAACCTTTCGAAGAAGGAAGCCTCTGTCAGGCTCGCAATATACTGTTCTGCATTGTCCCTCATAATTGTTTGAAGAAGGACTGCATGTTTCTCGGTTGACTCAAGTTCCCAAGCTGTTGCGAGAGCATGCAACCACTTGGATTCAGCATCAGCTCGTTTTGCGATGACAGCTGACTGGACGGTTGCATCTGTCATATGCTTCATGCCTTTCTTCAATATCTCCTTGCCCTGTTTTAGTACTTCTCAATATGGTATAAACTGCAGTATGAATGAGGCCAGCATACCTGATGGACATCTATTTGACTAAGATCAGCCTCGTTGCCTTTCACGAGATTTTTCATCGTGAAATGGTGCTCCAGTGCAGTAGGAACATGCCCCCCAAGCTGATAGGGCTTGAACCTTGAGGCAGCGCATTTTGCATGACAAGACATGTGGGATGTTACGGGAGGAAGGCTCGTGGACACAGTTGCATAAGCTGAGGAACGGGAGGGGTTGTCTGAAAGGGATCGTTGGTTGGAGTTGATGGGTTCCATTATCCTATTGTGATCATCACAAGAGCGCTTGCCAACGTTTTGTGTGGATTGGATATAGTCGAGTCTAGGAGAGCCTGAGGGATTAGAGCTAATGGAAAGTGAGGAGAGCATGGCGGAATGGTTAAGGTGAGCCAAAGGACCCTTGGAACTTCAAGCTTTCGAGTCAAGGTTGTATCAATGATTTCGTCAGCAACAATATCAGGTAATATGATCATGGTGAGTGGAGTTTTAATGACTGGCTCTCTAGATATCTCCTGGTTAGGGTCGGCACTGCCCGTGAAGTTCGCACTTAAGGCATTAGTAAATAATCTGAGTTCGGTATCACTGCACCATACCTTCGTTTTTTGGATGCCGTGGCATTGCTGAATTGATCTCATGTGATAAGCCTTCCGCCCAAACGGACTATAGTACTATATAGACGATTAGCTATTTCCGAGTCGTGACTCGGCGGGCATTTTGCAGGAACTTTTGTGCACCTACCAGTTTCCGCAAAACAGCAAATGTGACTCCGAGAGTGCTGGACAGATGCATTTCGCAAGGAACTTCTGTGCACTTGGCACCAAAACAGCAAGAAGTGCCGACATGACAGATGGCAGCATTTCCACAGGAACTGTTGTGTATCCCACGTTTACTAGTACACACCAAAACAGCAAGAGTGTGACTCACCTTTCTAAGAATCTGAGTGCTGATAGTAGTCAGCGTCAGCATTCTTCGGAGTTTAAATCTCAGAGGGCCCTTCTCAAATAACTTGTCAAAAGAGGGCATATGATCTTAGATTTCTTTAGAAATACCATTCGAAGTTATGAAAAGCAGAGAGATTACGTTCTAAAACATCTTGAATCTGGATCAAAACCCAAGTATGTACCACCATTAGTAATGGTAGTCACTAGCAAAGCCGGCCAGTGTCTGGTTCAGACAAGTCCGAGTCGTATGCTGGCTATCGCCAACTGCCATGACATGGTGGTACCAAGCCCGAGTCCCTGGGTTGTCTGGCTCAGAGTCTTGGCTCGCCTTGGAAGACTCACTTGAAATAGGAAGGCGCCACGTTGTTCTCAAGGCTTCGGAGGAATTTCTCCTGCTGACATTGATTAAATGAGTGACAATCCCTGCACAAAATAACGGTACAATTGAAATCATGTCAGTCTTATCGAGAATATCCATGTACAAGATAGCCCATAAGTAGGATCACGCCGACGCTAACAAGCAATCGAAAGTGGGTATTAAAAGCGAGGAGAATCAGTACAGTAAGATAGAATGAGATGTTATGAAGTGCAGATATTGAGATGGCGGTCATGATGGTATCACAGATGATCGCCAGCTGAGTACTGCTCTCTAGTGCGGTACTATGATAGCGGCAGAGTGAGTGAATACATGGCAAGTGCACCACAAAAGAAGCGACGCACCGTTGTGACACTACTCGAGAGCTTGGCTATTTTCTTTATCTTTGTTGTCAGCTTGTGCCTTCATTTTACCTTTAGCCTTCCTCCTTGCCTTCGCACGTTCCTCCTTCATGTGAGCTTTACAAACACAGCTGTGAAATGTAAACGCAGCACCCTCCGACATGTCAACCTTCTCTGCGTAAAATTTACTACTAAAATGTGCTGCAGTTGGCAGATATAATATCCCATGCTCCTTCAGCGTTGCCACATACTGCAGGAACTCCATAGCCGGATAGCAGGAATGGATACTGGCAAGAACCTCGTCGATGTCTTGCGGTGGTTCACCATCCGTTTCTTCATTGCTCTCCATGTAGAGAGCAAATGTCCTCTTGAGTGGTTGAGGAGATATAGGATCATTACCTTGCTGTTCGGAAAGTGTACTATTACTAGAAGTCCACATATCGTTGATGGCAGATGAAAGGTGGACGTGATTATGAATGACGGGCGATATGAGTTCGGTGGGTACATGTTGAAGGGACGTTCTTTCCTTACGTGTCTTGCAAATGTCATGGAAATGGGGTGTACTGGGTAGAGTAATGCAAGCATTGTTTGGATCTCGAGTGTTGTACTAAAAATTCATCAGCATTGTGTCGCTAGCATGCTTGTAGGCATATAGTAAAGGTGTACCATGTACCAAGTATTTAGCCCATTCCTGGAGGTCTCGGGTACATAGTGGGTAGTGTGGAGCATTTGGCTGTGATGCATCCACCCAACAGGATGCGTTCTCTGAGCCTCCTGGAAGTCGATGCTTGGAGCAGCACAACTTCCTTTTGACATTTTCGAATTCCTCTGTATATAGCGGAAGTGACGGATTGGACATCGTCAAGTTCTGCTCGCCCGCAGAGCACATACCTGCTTGTCGTTTAAACGACTTCTCTTTCAGAGATGAACAAAGCACTTACAGTGTTGACAATTTCAATTGCAACTTTCTTCTTTTTTCCGTTCAGAGGTTTGCTCAGCCCGTGCGGCTTTGAAAGCGCTGCTAATATCTTGGGAAGTTAACAGGCGATGTGGAGGGTCCGCACGACGGGCAGTAGACAAACACCAACCCAAATTCTCATAGGTTTTTGGAAGATCCATCGCAGCTCTCATAGAGTCTAATATATCCAGGGGAAGGTCTGATTCGGCGTAAAAGTGGTCCACATAGGTCATAGATTTGTTCTTGTCCACAGTATTCAAAGGGATCTGAAACTCGACTATTAATCCAATGTGAGTATCTCAAATATATCACCTGAGAATGAGTGTTAGAATTACCCTTCTCGAGCCCTTCGTAGTGTGTGGGAACATGTCCTTGATCATCGACATCAGGCAGCTCTTGTGGGCACCAAGGAGATATGCCGCAGTTTGAAGACGAGTGCGCTGGCGAGTAGATGGCATAGAATTAATGATGCTGTTTATATCCCGTGAGAGAATCTCCTGATTGTCACACATCGTGCACCAATGACGGGTTATGTAGTAGATATACTTTGCTCACCCGACCTTTATATTAATCCAATTGAACTGGTCACAATGTTGACTTCACTTGAAGTACGAATTTGCAAACTTACTGAGGTCTCACCATGATTGCCTAAAAAGACCTAGTCTGGTTATGGCACTATCAATACCATCATTGATATAGTATTGCGCTCGATCTCCACTTTTAGACATCCCGAAATGCGAGCAGGGCTGTGTGAAACGCAGAACAGCTACCAGCACTGAGTCAGTCACACGCATATTGCAAATAAAATTTGGTGGCCCGAATATTACAAAAAATGTACTAGTAGATCTGTATCATAGCTTTGCTGTCACTGTGACAGTCTTTACACAGCAGTCACAGCTTGGCTCAATACGAAGTATATCAGGGGAGTTCTGACTAGATTAGAAACATTGTGTCACATCCTATGATCCATCATCCTCATAACGGCACCTGATTCTGAGATGGATCATTGCCGTCAGTTACGGTAGATTCGCAAATTAAAATTGTTAAACTACTAGGTACCTCGCTGAATGTTTGTCATGCCAATATCAAACTCTTGGAAGTGACGGCGTACTACATTTGGCCATGGGCGAAAGGACAGACAATCTCTCAAGATCAAGCTCCGCCTCGAAGCTTCTGACATAGTTCAGAGAATCCCTGTTTTCCTGTGGATAATATCATTGGATGATAATCTACACTAAAGACATAGTGCGAACCTGGAAGACCTGGAGGAACTCATTGTGAGTTGGGCTCCTATTGGTTCTGTCTGTGGCGTAACCAGAGTGATTGGTTCATATAAGTCATAATCAGGTGAGCTGCAATGTAGAAGGCGGAAGAACTGTCTTTGGGTCCCGAGCGGCGTCCTTCGATTGAACCAGATGCATCTAGGAATGGGCCGACCCAACTTGAACGAGTGCTTTGGCACTAAAACCTTTACTGCATTCCGCAGTGCTTTTAGCATGTCCCTTGATCTCCAGGACAGATCCTAAAGATGAAAAGCCCATTGTGCATAGTTGGAAAATCCAGGGGAGGGATTGATCACAGGTTCAAGTTCAACTTGAGCCTCGGCGGGTGTGCTCTGCTGTGACTCAGAGTGTCTGGACCGAACCCTGCGGGACCAGGTGATAGTAAGGGAAGAAGAACAACGCCAGGCATCCAAGATAATGAAGAGAGGAGCCTCAAGTAACCCCGAGTAGTAGAGTCAGCGAGGTAAGTACTGAGCTGTACATGAGTAACGTGACTATCTCAGAGCGGCTGAGTCAGTGAGGTTGCACAATATGCTCACATAAGCTCGGGTACGTGCACTGCCTTGTGAAAAGAAATCGTCCAGACAATCATGTTTGAAAGGGGAAGGGGGGGTCACTGACAGAAAAACGAGCACACCACACGCGACGATTCCAAGTCACAGCAAATATCATTTTTGAGAACAGTCCAACTCAACCGTTCAAAGCCTCCGAGTCATCCGAGTCATTCTTGAATCGGTTTGTACTGAACAAACTTTTCATTTACTAGAATACAACGGGGTATTCCAAAAGAACCGCGTCTAACCATATGTCATGTCACCAAGGGGAGAAACTATGATTATCAGGAGAGTAGCTAGCACCGATCCCATTTCGGTGGGAGTCCGAGTCAAAGTGGCATTTATGGGCACCGCCATTGAATGACCATGAGTCAACGTCTAAAGTTGTTGGGCAAGAGACCGGTGGTGAGGATGTGCTTGTCCTCAATGTGGTTGGCGAAGAAGTTGATGATGATGTCGAGCAGATGCATCATGAGACCATGTTGAGGAATGATATACAGGGTGACAGATGGTGCGGTGAAAAGTTGGGGGGTGATGATTTGCATAGGCCCAATGTGCTGAGGGCTACAATCGTAGGTCAGCCTCATGCGAAGGTACTGTCGTAGAAGATTACAGCGATGGAGGGTCTGAAACTCGTGCCAGAACCTGGCGGCAGTGACATCAGTGAATTCATGAGGGCCAGTCATGAAAAGCTGCATTCATAACCCGAATTCGCAGAAGTTCTTACAAAAGACAGTGTCACAGCCGGGGACACATGTAAACATTGTAAGGGATTTGATGGTAGTTCAACTAAGCATATTCGGAATGTGTATGGAGCCGTTAGTAAATAGTTGTGTAAGGGCAGCTACTTCCAATGGAGTCAGAGCGTCGTATAAACCAGTATAGCGGGTGTGGTGAACTGAATTTTCGGATGAATAAAAAAAGCTTTTGACATACAAACCTGACATGCATTCCAGCAGCGCCCATCAGTAGAGGATAGCTACCATCATAACCAATGGTTTGAAGTTGCCATCCGGACCGACGTATTGGTGGTACTGGTGTTCGCTGTCACGTAAGAAGTATGTGACCGCTGAGACAATGGCATGGTTGGCAAATGCAACCTGGACTCCATCAGCATCCTGGACTCCATCAGCATTCTCGACTCCGTCAGCATTCTCGACTCCGTCAGCATTCTCGACTCCATCAGCATTCTCAACTCCGCCAGCATCCTCGACTCCGTCAGCATCCTCGACCTCAAAGGGATAATATGAGTGGATTCATTTAGAACGCGTCAAAATTGTGCACTTACAGAGACAAGTTGGAGTGTGCCGTAGATGAACGCATCATTCATCACCAGACCATTAATTCGGTTTGCGCGCACGACGATAACCGAGTTGTTCAGCGGCACTGTGAAGTCAAACTGGAGGCTGTACTCATGAAAGACAAACATCCTCACTACGGCTTGCATGTCATTATGCAAGGCTTCGAGCACGGGTAGGAGTGTCGCATCCATGTAAGCCGCGTCATGCGCCAGCTTATCCAAAGCCCACTGCATAATGACTCCTGAGCCTCTCAATCAGCCTATCTGGGCCGCTACTTGGAGTTCATACACTTACCGTTGTTCTGTTGAATGGCGGCGGCTCTCCATGACGAATCTATCATTCCGATAAGAGATTCGTTGGAGGGTAATAGTGACTGTCCAAAAAGAGCCATTTTCATCTGATCTCTAAAACAATCCAATAACTGTCGAACACCGCGGCTGGGAACGAACTGCATGCCTGAAGTCTGGCTTGCAGTACCAGAAGATGCATCTTTGTCCTTCTTGGCGTGCTGGCCTGTTCGTTCCACGGTGAGAGTATTTTTGGCATTGCGATGGGACAAACGAGCTGGCTTGCTGGATTGTGGCTGGGTTAATCGGCTGCGATAATGGTAGACGAGTGACGAGTGTGAGGTGACGTCGTCAGGAACATGATGGTGAGACTCGGGGGCGGGGATAACCGGGCCCTGGGTCGGAGACTGCGACTTGGGCAAGTTAAGGAATAAAGCAGGTTGCACTGGCAGCGTTGCGGGAAAGGCGCCAAAAAAGTTCGGTGGAATAATATGTTGAGGTCTAGGATGTGCGAGTTCGAGGGGAGCCTGAGGCTGCAGTTGGCCATGCAACGGGTAGGAAAGTTGTAGCAATTGACGCTGATCAGTGTTGGGTACTAGTGTATCATGACCATGAAGCGGCGGGTGCGATGCTTGGTCTTGATGGCCGCGATCATTATCATAATAATAAGGTAGAGTCGACGCGACATAGCTGCTGTCCCTCGAATCCGATGGGCCTGCTAGTGTGGTTCCGTCATGATGAGGCTGTGCAGGCAGCAGCCACGATGACCCGGGTGACTGATGAAGATGAGGAGGGGGCGCTGGCTGCCACGATGACTGATGAGGGTGAGGAGGGGGCGCTGGCTGCCACGACTGATGAGGCTGAGGGGGCGGCGGCCAAAATGACTGACTCTGAGTTGGAGGCGGCCACAATGACTGATGGGTATGATCGTGTTGATCATCAGTGATCATCGTGATCGTCGTGATCACCGTGACGGTAGCTGAAACTCGATGATTGACTGAATGAAGCATCTGGAGCGGTCCTATGCAGCTCAGAATCAGAGTCACCGCTGGGCGGCGGTTGCTGACTACCCCAAACTAACATATCACTATGATGGGAGCTAGCAAGAGCGCAAAAGTTACTCAGCTTCAAATAATAATATTTCCTTCATCGTTAGCTGGAAGACTGAACACGTGAAGATTCAATGAATAGATTACATAGATTTTTGCGATGATGTAAAGTATACATCGAGTACACAACAGTCCTACCTAAATGGTATAACCTTACACAAAACACGGAGTTGCTTATGTCTGGCCCTGGCCTTGCTATACATGGATATAAGTTCAATGCTATTTCGGGTAAACATATTTACACAATGATTGGTCGATACGATTGAGTTCTGGTGCAGGCCACCTCTGGCAGGATCAGTCCTTGACAAGGACGCATGGTTTCTGCTGTACAATCTCATTTCGCTACTCTTCTTAAACAGTCAAAATTCCCATCCTTCGACTCCCGCATCACCCAAGTCTACACCACACACAATCACTGTGTTGACTGGTTGGACTCAGAAACGTCCGATCCCGATGAGGCGATCTCAACCTGGCTGGGCTGATATGAAATATCTAAAAATGCTCAACCAGTATAAGTGAGTCTTGGCTCTGCCTAGCTGCTATACTCGCAGAATGCAAGAACGTTCGACCCTAAAGGGGACTGCTACTGAACACAGAACCAGATGAAAGAAAGACCCTTGAAGTGTGATGGATGCGCGAAAGCGCAAGAAGAAAAGCGAAGTGAGCGCGAAGCGCGAGAGAGCGCACTAAGGTAGGCGCGAGCGTGGGAACATGAGCGCTAAGGCGCGCGTTGTGCGGAAAATACCAGATAAGGAAACGGATAAGGAAGCGGATGTGCAAAGTGAGTGCAAACGCAGAGCGAGTGTTATAACGAGCGCGGATAAAGGTCTAGTATAGGCGGATAACGATAACCATTGGAAACACAAAGTGCGCCCAAGTGGTGACTACTACTTTAAAGTAAAACCCAATAGTGAGGGAAGTACAGCAAAGGGGAGTAATAATGATGGAGTAGTAAGTCAGCAAACTTTATACTATGGAAATCGCATCGGAAGCGGAAGGGATAGGAGCAATAAGCGCTATGAATACGTAATGACATGTAATAACGCTGCAATGCTTGTTACAAACCACGAGGCAAGGGATATGACGTACCAATGAGGTGGATGGACATAGACGGACGTCCCTGGATGATAGGCGATGAAGGGCGATGCAGGGCGCTTAAGCGCGAGAAAGCGCACAAGGTGCGCGTGTGGGAATGCTGCGCATTGTGTGGGAAAGTACCGCGCCTATGGTGTGTTATGTGTAAAATGACTAGGGACATGATGAAGTCGAATATAGCTGATGGTGCGAGTTGTGCATTGCAGGCCAATTGTCATGAGTTGTGAAAAGGTGCGAAATGTGCCCATATGTGCCTGCAGAAACGCGAGTCTCTACACCGATATGAGCGGAAGTGGAGCCTACATCACAGTGATGCATCGGGCATCGAGCGAGACAGATTCTGGTGATATGCTAGACTCAGGGTATGCGCCAATGCGGACATCAAAGCCAACATTATTGGGGGTTTGTACACCAGATGTTACCTGATCCAACGGCCTCTTGACACTGAGATACTATATCATCCCCTTGAGTCTTGTCAGGTTGTTTCTTGGAATCATCTTGTGCTTCTGCACGCCGAGCAAGTTTTCTTGCAAGTCGTGTTTTATGTGCTTCAAAGGGATCCTGATGTCTAGAAGAGAAGGTTTATGGATATAGGTCTGGGCAAAAAAGTGATGTACACACATAATGACCTCTTATCCACACCGGCTTCACTGGACGTTCTGTTCCATCTTTACGGGGGAGTTTTTCCAGAGCATCAAGGACGTCGTCTCCCTCAACTAGCTTACCGAAGACAGTGTGCTTGTTGTCAAGGTTCGGCGTAGCTCTGAATGTGACGTAAAATTGTGACCTGAAGTGGCACTCGTCATTGAAACAGAAAACAAAGATAAACCGCCAGACGGACGTATTTGTGCCAGCGCCCTTGTTGGCCATGGTGACGATACCACGACTATCATGTTTAGCAGCACCTCTCATGACATGCTCGTCTCGGAAAGGAGTACCCCAGTGTGACTCTCCACCAGAGCCTGTACCAGTAGGGTCACCTGCTTGCACCTACGGCGCTATGAGTATCCAATCTTGCGAGACGACAAACGAAGAAGTACCATGAAGCCAGGAACAAGTCTATGAAAGAGGCAGTCGTCATACTTTCCTGCTCTTGCAAGCATGAGAAAGTTGTAACAAGTCTTTGGTGCCTGTGAGGGAGTGTTAGCCACATCAACATGAGCACACAGCACTGACCTTGTCACAATACAACTCCAGGTTCAACGAACCGCCCAAACTGGTCACGACCTGGACATATGCTCTTCATTTCCCAACGTCTTTCTCTTTACCCTTACCCTTTGGAGGGTTCGACATTTCTTTGAACATCAATTCTTCCTAGGTTATCATCAACAAGAATACTTGTCACAGCCAGGTCTTTTTGCTCACCTCGTCCCACAGTAGTTGTGAACTTTGTGTCTGAGGATCCACAGACATCGACATCAAGGATGCACCGGGTGCACCGCTAAAATAAGGAGAAATGTTCCCTGACATAGTACTCAGGCTGAATTCTGTAGTGAAAAATGGTGGAGCTCACAAGGGACAGCGGCTTTACCCTTCACCTCAGAGACTGCTTTAACGGTAGCTGATTTGGGCTGCTCATCCTTCTTTGCAATGATGGTAGCACCAGTATTGATTGTAGACGAGGGTGGGAGACCATGGGGGTTTTGCAATGTGATGACGTCCTCCCTGCAAGAGTAACGTTGAATCCAGAATGGTGAAGAAAGACTCCACCACTAACTTCTTGAATTTAACATCTTCAAGGAGATCCTTGCCGTCTTTGATACTTTCTGCAAGGAAAACATTTCCTGTGGTTGCAATTACTACTATATGCGAGTGCTCGCCGAACGGCTTGAATGAAATTGGATCATGAATTTCGCCAGATGTTTTGCGCAAATAGTGGAGTGTTATCAGGTCACCGGGTGCGAGGGGCTCCTTTGTAATGGGATTTGTATTGTTATGTTGCCTTTGGATGGAAGCGTAAGACAGACGTCACCTTGCAGGAAGAGAGGACAACTTGCTTTAGCCAAGTACAAGGTCAAACATGAAGCCTGTTCCATCCGCGTTGCGGGCGCATACTGGATGATTAAATGGCTGGAAAGAAAGTGCACAACAGTCGAATGGTGTTTGCGCTCGGGGGTGCGGTACCTGAAGCATTCTGTGCAAATCATGAGAACTCCATGATTTAGGCGCAGACAAGACTTACACTTTGTACCCGGATGAAGCAGAATGCTGTCCGAATTTGCCAGCATGTTCTGCATGTGTGATATAGAGTTTGTTAGAACTTCCGTGGCCCATATTGCAGTTGGTTTGAGATTGAGTGTATAATAACCTTCAAGTGAGTGGAGCACCTGATCAAGCTTCCAAATCTAATAAACGCAAACAAGATAAATCTCGCGAACTTGAAGGTCCCCATCTTCGAATTCATCCTTTTTAACTTGCAGATGCTGCGTCATGCTACCACAAAAGCAAGGCGGACTCCTGTCGTGCTTGATTTCCTCGCGCCAACTGCGTTTGGATACCGTCTTGGTAGCTCCAAGGTGCAACCGCGACCTTCGGTGACGAAACCATCCAAATGACATGACACGGAGAGACTCGCAGAATTTCCAGTCTCCGTGCATGCACAAAACCCAGCAATTCTTTGTCAGAACATCAAGTAATGTATCAGCTTACTGAGCCAGCCAGATGCTGCTGCTGTCTCCGACCCAGACATTAACTTCTTTGACGAAAAGGTCGTTGAGCTTCGTCTCGCTCTGAAGGCTGGTGACATCGCGCGAGTAGGAGAGCTATGGTCGCAGTTGGAAGATATAAAGCTGCTGCGACTCCTCAGTCGCGAGTTGCGTGGGTTTTCCGAGCGCGCTGCTCAGCTGTGCTTCAGGGACAACTCTGGGCCTTGGGATGCAGACGAGAGGAAGGTCATCGAGGGCATAGCCATTGCTGCCGCCTGTGAGGGCGCAGTCAATGCCCTCACGACTTGTATGATCAGACATATAAAGAGAGGCAACTCGCAGGCAGCCCTTCACCTGTACAGACGTTTCCTGGCACACTCCAGCTATCAGACCGCGTCTGAGCCCCTACCATCCTCAACGCAGGAAGATATTGAGGATGCGAATGGGCTAGCTCTCAATTTTCTAGGCAATCAGTTATCCCACCAACCCAATTTCTCACTTGTCCTCGCAGCAATAGCCGCATATACACTCGAAGATTCATTCGAGGGCGTGCTGAAGATAATGCTCGAAAATCCTGTACGCATAAATCAGTCCGCCCAGAAGGAGTTCATGGCTTCATTCAATGACTTCTTGTTCCGGGCAAAAGTTCAAAGTTACGTCCACCGCGTTGACATAGCAAGACTCATCTCTCACCACCACTCACTCAGCACTCATCACAAATCTCTCAAGCAATCAGGATCTTTCACAGAACCAGAATTTATACCGGGCGATCATCAAGGGTTTGAATGACCCAGAGCTGTATCTCGCTGTTCGTGATTCACAGAAGTCCAGTCAAAGACCTGTCGTGATCCAAGAGATCAATTGGGCAAGGCAAAGGGCGAGAGAGGAAGAGCGATATATTACATGGTATCATATGTTGGTATGGGCACCCTCGTGCAGCAGAAGAACAAATGAGTGTGATGATGTGGGGTGACGCAAGTAAAACCGGAGGGACAAAACTCGGGTTCGAATTTGTATCGTTGGAGAAGGCGCCAGAGGTGGTGTACAAGAGGCAAGGGTTGAAAGTGGCGAAGCTCTCGATGACAGCATTTGTTTGACCTCGAGGAATTTTGAAGGCCTGAATACAAGTCAGGTTTACGAAAGAATAGACAAAGGGGATCATTACCTATGCTTGGCCACACGCATGTCTTCATCCTCTGGGACATTCATCCATTTTGTTTTATTTTTCAGAATTTTGCTGATGGTGCTCCGCTCAACACCATACCGCGCTGCGATATCTTCCTGCCGTGCATTGGGGTTGTCTTGGTGGTAAATACAGATGGCCTTACAGTCAACGTTAAAAAGACGTTGCTTTCGTTGCTTGGCACGTGGAATGACAGCGCCTGGGGAAGGCTGGGAAGATCTGAGAGTTGGGGGCGGAGGTAGTGGATGAGATGGATGGGAGTGCAGATGCGACGCTTAATGCAAGAGAAGCTGAGCGTGGATTGGAGGTAGAGTAAGATGATGCCGAATGTGAATGCTGGACCTTATACATGGGAAAGGGGGAATAAGGTGATGCTGACACAGGCGTGCTCAGGTACCGAGGTGATTGCAAGGGTATACCACCCGAGCCCATTGTGGAAGACATTCTGTCAGGCAGCTGGTAGTGATTTGGGTCGCTAGTGCTTGCAGGTGTCTGAGGGCGCGAAATGGCACTCCCTGGTGACATGTAGTAGGGAGACTCAGAGTAAAGGAGGTGATGAGCTAGCTGAGATGATGAGAGAAGCAAGAGTTATGACGTACCTCGTCAGCCCCGGGCCCGTATAAATCAGACTGCGCGTTTGATGGTGCAGGTGGTCTGTCTCTTCTGAGACCAAGGTGAAGGGTGGATTGTGCGCGTGTCTGTCGGCGCGTGAGCCTTGAAGGGCCGGTGCTACCCGAAATTTGGGGAGAAAGAGCGATTGTCGGGGAGTGATTTCCATCATCTTCAGGACTTCAGAATGTTGGATTGTTGGGAATAGTTGGAATAAGCCTAGTCGTTGGGCTGCACTTGCCCATACCGTAGATGTGGATGTAGAAGCATAATCTCCGTGATCCAGAGGACGATCCACCGTGGAATAAATGGATGATAGCGGCTGAGTGGAACTTGTAGAAGACTTTGAAGTTGAGTCTTCTAGAAAAAAAACCAGCCGCTGCGAGTGAAAAGGAAGAAAGACTGGGTCGTGGAGTCCCTGCGGCCGTGATGCACTAGTGCATGCAGTTACTGTTTTGCTTGTTTCCTGGAAGTATCAGGCTGGAGGGAAGTTTGAAGGATCGGAGAGGTAATATTGGACATCTCTGCTTTGCCCTGGAAAATCTCGCCAGTTAGCTTCTCGCGAAGTTCAGTACTAACCCAACACTATTCTACATTGGATGACGAATATTCCAATGATGTTTGCCAAGAGAAAGTCTTAAATAATCTTGCAGTCCAAGATATTAACAAAGGAAAACGAGATTATTCAACAAGTAAGATACGACTACACTGTCATCCCTTGGTGTCCTGGATGATGTAATACATCCCTTACAGGCTGCGATGGCACTATATCACAACATTGTCACAACTTCCGATGTTAATATGTATTTGATAACCAACGCTAATGCTACTTTTCACGATAAAGTCATGGATAGCATTGTAATTTAAGATTTAAATTATGACAAATGAGCATGTTTGACTTTGAGGACGTAATTACATTACAATCCCTTGTTGGCCGTGACGGTGCAATGTCACTGCATGTTTACAAGTGCCCATGGTAATATACATTTTGTGTTCAGTGCTAATGCCGTTTTGCATGATAAAATATTATACAGCCTTGTAACTCACACCTAAAATGAGAATGCTTAACAATGGGGATCTCATTACACTACAATCACTTGCTGGGTGTCATGTTGCTGTGCTGTGCCCTTTCCATGAATGCCTCACGGTACTCAAGATGTGTAGACATACATGCCTATGTATCAACACGTCAAATTTATCGGCGTATAAATGGCCATATCTAGTAGAAGCAAAAATATATATTCCTATAGCTATCATGGCTACAATATCTCGGACTCATAAATTCACTGATGCGCCAATCCTCCAGACAGTCTTCCTCGTGCTCAAGGACATTCTACTACCCATTTAGTCTACTACAAGTACTTGTACGCCACGAAGATACTCCGGCCCTTTCCGATCTGATAGCGATCAACGTCCGCCCATATGCGCCCATGCTGATTTGCGCGCTCCAATATGGGAGTCTGCACCCCCAAAAAATGGCAATGGTGTTGGAGACGACTTATGTAGAGCGTCCGGTTTTGGCCAGCTGTAAGCTGTTTACCCTGTTCCACTACTCTCAACACCATATGCTAGGCTGAACATCGATGCAGCAGCGCTCATGCGTCCGCCGTCCTCTAGCGCCCATCACACTTTCACATATTAGTATAAGTACTTACATACTCAGCTCCCATTCTTGAATTCTCTACTCCCCGCTCAGCACACCTCATCTCCTTGCTATGCTCATTCGTGCTGGAGGTATACAGTCGAACCATGAGTCCGCACGATTCATTCCGTTTTATTCTCCGTGGTCCCGATGAACTAAAACGCATCTGAGCACCAATGAGTTATCAGCGATCTGGGCTTCATGCTTCACAGTCATTGCTTCACCATCCGTTGCTCAGACAGCAAAACTCTGCATACGTGTAGAATTCTGTCTAGGCAATTGATACCGATTCCCGTTATATTTTAGTACAGGGCATCAAGAACTGGAATAGTTGCTAGACGTTCCGGATAATTTCAACTTGCCACTTGGTGTAAATGTGGGCGGGCAGTTCACTGACTGCCAGTACTAGTGATGCAACAAGAAATGGGTTTGTCTACGTAAACTTCATCTTAAATATACTTCGGAACGGCATAACCTGAATAAATACCACGACGGATCCTCGACCAAATTTCTCCTCCCTGCAAAACACTCGGCAAGCATTTCCCTATACAGTACTGCTAGTTGGTACATCTACACGCTCCTGGAAGACAATCGAAGTCATGCTAGTTTCTGCGTCGGAACCGGCCACAAGTTTTGCGTGATATTCTCGAACGCCAAGGATGAGACGTGGTCCCAGCACAAACATCTGCACGACCGACAAAATTTGACAAGCACCTTCGAGTATCAGAGCTCCTATAGAATTTGAATTCTACAGAAATGATAAGCAGTGGTTACAGGCAGTTGTCAGCGAGAAGTCGGCGCACCCCGATCTCTGGAGTGATGGTAACAAGCTGGAGGCAAGAGACACAAACAAAGCTAGCACATGCGGAACTTGAGCAGAAAAGATAACCACGTTCACATTGCAAGCTCACCTTGCAAAATAAAGCACGTGAGATTTTATCAGCACCGTGAAACAGTCACCGACGGTCGATCCTGTCGATTGGTCGAGTCGTCGCAGGTCACGGAACTGTTTCACAGCAATCCAGACCGAAAGACATAGTGTGAGGACCTCCCAAACAGTGTTGAGCATCCAAATCATTGAGGTCAGAAGCTGGACGTCCCCCTCAGATCCATATTCGCACATATATGTGCCAGAGAGTATCAGTTCCTCTGCTGTTTGTCCAATGAGCTGTGTTCTTCTAAGTCAACAAGTAAAGCTGTACCCCCTGTAATATGACTGAGTCCTATTCCCGGGATCACTCCGCAGGCGATATTAACAGCCAGGAATATAACAACAAGGAAGATAAGTATTGTTCTAGATCTCTGATACATGGCATATAGCCGAACAATCATGATGACTTGCATAATGTTTCAGTTGAGTCAATATCACTGAGGTATTGCAGCTGGATAACTCACCACCCAACACGGCAGCTAGAACCAGACTTGTCGCATTTATTGTGTAGTACAGAATAGCGCCTGAAATGCCTAATTAGTGATCGCCCTCGTACTAGGACCAAACACTCCGACTCACATCTATTGAGTCATTATGCATTATATTTGAGCCAAGTTCGACGGTCAGAATCTCACTCACCCCTGAAAATGAGTGTATTCATTGGATGGGAACGAAATGGTTGCGAAATACTCACTGCATCTGTCAGCGAGACAAATGGCACGTCTGCTGTGTGCTACCAGTCAGAAGAATCAAACACAGTGCAAATGAGACATACGCAGAACATCGGCACTAATTGTCAGAGATGAGTTATCAACACTGTCCCAATTTGTTGGCCTCGACATACATAGTATATGGTATTCCAATATAACGTATCTAGAACATTTTGGAGTCAGCACAACTTGCCAACTACGCTATAGTATAGCATAACATGAGGTACGAACCACCAGGTACAGCACAGTCACGAGGGACCAACGTTGCCTCTGTCGCGAATTCATTGCATTCTCCTGTTTTTCTTCTAATATGGGACTCTGTCACTCACCCAGATCAGTTCGATCTATGACACCATTCTTAGTGAGTCGGCTACTCCGGCGATAGTACCGACCTACCTCTTGTCCGAGCATTAGCACTGGAAATACCATCAGAATGTCAGCAGTTTCCAAACGATGTCCTGCTCACCCCAATCGTATAACATGACGACGCTGGCGGCAACTGCAAAAACGCAAGTCAAGTTTAGATCAAGACATCACAGATTGATGCAACGAACCCATCCAATAGCTGATAAAAATATTCACACTGATTGTCGGCCACCAACTGGGATCATTTGAGACTATGGTCATATTCGAGGGATGGGTGGGAGCGAGTGGGGGATATAGCAATAGTGTTCGTGCTAGATATATAACCACCGTTCAGCGCTTGTATCACTAAATTCGGCATGATCAAGATGAATATTTGTTCCTCCCCACGACTCTTGGTTGGTTGGGGTATTGCGGTGCGAAATCAAGCACAAAGTAGAAGCCCTCGATTGAATTAAAGTAGATTTTGATCTGCAAACCGGTACCCATCATGCACATGGAATATTTGAACATCAGAACAGTGTTTCGTGACGTCGGCAACTTGTTTACAACACCACTTTCAAGGAGTTTCGTGTGAAATTATGTACTCATTGATCTAACACGGGTCTCAGCATCGTCAACAAGGTCCCATTCTGTGGCATGGCACCAGAGAAGTCAGC